TTACATATATAGTATATACATATAGGTATGTATTTCTAGTCGGGGACTCTAGATAGTTATTTCCTATAATATATTCTATGCTGCAATCGAAAGTTTAGTAATCAATCGACTTAAAAAAGGACTCTTAATTAACTGTGTTTACTAGTAATAACCCGCGGTGTTGCTCACCACTTTAATTAGAAATGTGTTAATTTAGGATTTGGTTTATTTGTGTATGTGTAGTATAATTCGAATCTTTCGTTTAATTTTTTTATCGATAAACATCCAAACATGCATCAATATATTTCTCCATCAATCCTCATAAATAGAGTTTTACTACTGAGTTCTGGGAAAATGGACTATACATAATAGTAATATCAGAATTTTGTAGTCGTTGCATAATAATTAGAGTAATTAGCGAAGGGACAATGAGTGTCTTGGTCACGTATCAACATACGAACTGGCTAATAGATAAAACATATGTTTTTGTTCGGGTATGTACCTATATGTATAATTACAATATGAAATAAGGACATTTAGTAATTATCTACAAAATATGATGCAATATTTAAATATACTCGTAGCATACCTATATTGTTATTTGTATTTCTAAGTTAAATCTAAAGAGTCATCATGTTTTTATTTTAATTGTTAAGCATCTAGATACGTTTTTTAAAAAAATATATTTAATGTAGTGGAAGATTAGATGAAACTTTACATTTTAAAGGTACTAATTTAAAGAGTAAGCCTATATAATAACAACGTCGAAGTTATGAGTGCATATAATATATATTTAAACAAACAAAGTTAAGTAAATAATATATGTACATAGTAGTGTAATTGATAATACACTCGGCCTGGACAGCTGACAGATTATGTTTAAGCCCATTCGAGATTAAAATATTTTCTAACCATATTCATGGTTTTTCATTCATATTATTATGTCATTTATATTTATAGTCTAATGATCCCATTGCTAGCAATGTACCATGTCAGATCGACATGCATGCACGTCAGATGGGCCGGAGAATGTTCATTTGATTCCTGGTGCCCCGCCAGCGTTAGACAATATCTATAATAAATCTGATCATGATAATTGACAGGCGAGATTTTCTCACGAGAGTACAGCATTTTCAAGAAGGGTATATTTAATGTTTCTAAAGGGTCGGCAACGCGCACGTAACACCCCTGATATTTCAGGTGTACATAGGCCGCGGTAGCTATTTACCATCAGATGGGCCGTTGTTGTTGTTTGCCATCATAGTAGTTGTTACGAGTATATACGACCTACTTATTAATTTGTTATTTAATATATTACGAGTAATAGTTTAGTTGTCAAAATACAAAATATACATTGACATCAGTGTAAATATGTTATAAAAAGAGACAATACAATTATTCTGCAAACATACATATTATTATTATTTAACACATCTCAACAAAAAAGAACCCCACCACAACATCTGGCGACCGTGACTTAGAAGAAAAATGTTGAGATTAAGAAAATCCAGAACAAATTTACGCCGATTATTCACAAAGACTGGGAACCAGTTATCAGAATTATTAAAGGAACCCATACGAAATACTGCGGAAATAAAGGCGTGTCATTCACTATTTAAAGGTATAGCAGACGAATTATTTAAAGTAGATAAAGATATTTACAATGAATGGGTGAATGACGACGAAACAAATGAAGATGAATTTTACGCAGATTGTGAAACGGCCGATAAATTTTTAATTAAATGGATTACCCTAGATAATATGGATAAACATCCATCCAAGAACTTCAAATAGAGATGACTACGAGAATTTTAAAGATCGATAAATAAAGAAAGAGATGAAAGAGTCGAGTTAGCCATGTCAGGGTTTATTCTGAACCGACAATGGAATATATTTCATCGGGTATGAGTAAGAAATACGAAGGAGATGAAAAGATAGAAGAGAGTAGAAGTATGAAAAGTACCTGCATCCGTCCTCTTTCATTTGTTTGAATTTTATATCTGTCTCGTCTATTTGTTATGCGACAATGGATTCTAATTTTAATTTATTTGAATATAAAAATGTAGTAATATTCATTCTAGAATGTTATGTACCTAGTCTAGTCGCTGGTGGTATGCCTACCATATAAATATGGAATAGATATCGACAATGGGTAATTCCGTTAATAATATGTACATATTTCAATAGGTATGTTGATAATAATATACGGTAACGTAGAGGAATGATGCGTTTCTCTGTGATCGTCATTACGTTGATGTCATGATGAAATTGAGAATATAACAAGGGACTGACTCAATTTAAGGTAATAATAATACTTACTAGCTATTCGTCCCGGCTTCGCACGCGTTTTTAACGTTTTTAGCGTTTTTAACAAATAATTATAAATGTACAAATAATGTGAAAAAGTATTTATTATAAAACAACTGTAATATGTAGTTAGATATAGATTAGGTAATGCGGACTTTTTGTAGATATTGAAGTTCTGTATAAAACTGTGTAATGTAGATTTGTTCTATTGTCAATAATTTCGGCAGCTTACGCGATATAAGGATTGTTTTAGAACTTTTTTTCATACGTTGGGTTATTATGGAAGTTTTGTGGATTCCTAACGTATTTGAAAGTATTCTATAGTTAGTCGCCTACGATCATCAGGGATATTGTAAGATTTAAATGGTAAAAGGATTTCTTAAATCGGTACAGTTTCAGAGCCTATTCAATGTAAACAAATAATCAAATCTTTCCTGTTTATAAATAATATTAGCATAGATTTATAAATTAGTCACAATAAAAATATATTTTTCATTTCTTAGTGTATAATTATTGATAAGTGTGCATTAAAGTAACATTAACTAAATGGAAGATAATGTCTTTTTATCTTTACTTTAGTAGCCCGCCTTGGCTTCACCCGGGTGCTCAATACTCTGTAAGTTTTTAAAATAATAAATAAAAACACCTTGAATCGAGAATTTAGCTCACCAACCCCTGTGCGATTTATAAATCTACATATAATCTAACATATATAAACAATATTATTATGAGATAACGTATGAGTATTACTAATACATAGCCTATGTCTGATAGACAAATATATAAGTATTTAATCCTTCTAAATAATTAAAGAATTTCTCGAATCAGTGCAGTGGTTCCGGTTTTCCTTGTATAAATTAATAGAAATATAGTTCAAATAGTACATAATAGCCATTCGCTATTAATTATTATTATATATTAATATTAAATAAGATTTTTTAGTCTGTTCATGTATTAACGTATGCAATGTGGAATTACTGAAGACCGGAATACATGTTACTTCTTATAAAGTAATTGTAAATTGATTTTTAAAATTAAATTAACAAGATTTTTATGAAACAGATTTCTTCTAGTTTTTCTTTTCTGTTCAGAAAGTAAGCAATTTCAATCGAGGAGAACTGGCAAGAATCTTAATTATTACTCATATAAACAGTGACTATCATAAACGACAGATAGTCAGGATGAGTTCAGTTGTAGTATCGGTATATCAGTGTTAAGTATGATAGGTTCAAAAATAGATTTGACTTCAAGCATGAGCAGTGACCGCCAGTTTCATTGAATCAATTGTTTCCTTCCGTTTGTACGTACATCTACGGTTTTCCTTTTATTAATATACTAGTACCCGTCTCGGCTTCGCCCGGGTTGCTATAACGGCATAACATATGTATGTATATATATGTATTTTACTCCTGAACGGGTGCTGCTTGTGGGGACTGGTCTGTTCAGGTTGCGAACACTGATCAGATTTTTTATTTTTTGCAATATTTGCACATACGATGTCACTCTATTCTCCCAAATTGGAATTTAAATGAAATCATTCCGAACTGACGATAGATTTGACATTTCATAAGTCTGTAATAGACCTACATGAATAAAGATATTATGAATGTGAATTTGAATTTATATGTTTTTAATATACCTATGCTGCGGGTAGGGAATTGTTAGTAATGTAGACTTAAAATTCCATTGTCAACAATGTACTATGTCAGGTTGAGATGGTTTCAACCATTTAACGATTTAGCCACGAGAAAATCCTACAGAATTTATCACTACGGGCTAACTGACTCAGGTCAGTGTGAGTCTGACCTCATGCTCATCTTATCACCCTCCACTGGTGCTCCGCCACAGTAAACCGTGAACATAGGCGGGTGTACCATTCCATTATCATCCATTAAAATATATGCCTACTGCTACTGGAATAACATACCTTGGAAACAGTGAATTTGTTTACAGTAGTTCCCGGTGCAGGTCTGTACCTAACATGATAATGGCTAGTTATATGACGTTACTATCCCCATTACTAACAAGCCCTTCCCCCGTATGTTGTGATTCCAGTATTATTGGGCTATCTAACAGGATAACTAACTGGTACCTATAGGTCTATTGTAAAGAAGACATCAAGCTAAGTGCGTCCACCTAGAGCATAAGTGCAACTACTTTAGTGCTTACAAGTAGAAGGCAAAATTTTTGATAAATTTTACTTTTCATAAATGATGTTCCATACCACAGCGCAGGTTGCTGTGTTTACTATTTATTTATTTGAATATATTACAATCTTCTAAAAAGGCTCTGGTAATGTACTTAGTTAAGAATGCAAGAATAATTTTTACTGAGAATCTGAGGTTATAAAGTAGAATTACAGATTAGTGCCAAACAAATCGTAATAGATTTATTAATAACACATTTTTTTTAAATAATTACATATTGGTGTTTGGTATTTACGAAGTTAGCTAAAAATAAAAATATAATATCTTAAGGAAAGGAAGTTCTCAATTTTATATACATTTTGGCAACTACTTGAAAAACAAAATCAAGAAGTTACTTTATCTGAGTACCCTCATAGTTAATGAGTTCGATTTTAACGAATTTTTATTTTTGAGTGAGATTTTAATGAATTTTATGTTATAGGTACTTGAAAGAAGTCATTGTCTTTATATATAAATTAATATCTTAATATTTTGAAGTACATAATTTGGTGTACATAAAGAACTTACCCCTTTAATTTTTGGTTTTTTACACCATTCACCACCACATCTGATACAGTCGTCACAATTTTTAATATCTTCTATATTACTATTCCAACAATCAATTGCGAAAACTTGTTGTATACAAAATAACACAATCACAAAGCTCACTGAAGACGCCATTTTTTTAGGTTTCCTAAACATTATATATTATTATTTAACGTTCTTTTTTTAAATCAGCTAGGAATGTATCGAACGATATTTCGAGACAGCACTCGTTTTACAAAATGCGCGCGTTCTTAATCGCGTCCGTTCACAGACTGTAAACGACTCACGTCATGTCAAAAGACGAGTACGAGCGAAGATGAATCATCGAGTAGCGTTATGAAAATTCGCGGAAATTACATTTGAGAAGAGTATTATTAATTATTATGCACGTATTAGCAACAAATTAAATAATATTGCTGTCTATATAACATTGTCTTATTTATTCAAAATTTATTTATTTATTCATTTCAATATTACAACACCATTACAATATATCCAAATCGATGTTACAACTTAGTACAGTATACATATTATATATATATTAATTTACTAGATAACATATTTAATTACATAATAAAAAAAAATATAAATAAAGCACTATATTGGTTACTCCTTTCCATTTTGAGTTTAGTGAATAGTTTTCCATAAAATTTAAGTATTAGATAGCATATTTACCAAAAAATATATATACCTAATAATAACATATTATCTATATATTTCTTTTCAATTATTATTAATGTACCTAGCATAATAATAAAGTTATTTTTTATAAAGTTTTATTAAAGTTTAATAAAGTGGACAAGCTATAAATTTATTTCAATTATTACCATTGTAATAATATTGTTGCAAGATTTTGCTCTACCAAGTCATTGCTATGTAAAAGTATTAGGCGCTATCAGAGGTTCTGTTTTAATTGTAAACTGTGAAATCGAAATTTTATGACGAAGTCATATATATTATCATGAGATTTTTCATGAAAGTTTGTTTTATAGACTGTGTTTTGGTTGCAGGGTAAATAATATAGGGTAAAGGTAATAAAGTAGTAAAATTACGGGATAAGAGTATGCCGCTTAGTCGTCCGAAATGACAATAACTCATGGGACGGGCGTCTAAGAATGGGGGGTGATTATCACTTACCACAGTTGCTAACCTGTACCTATACATTAAAAACTCACATACGCGGAATATAATTTAACGGCGTCGGTGCTCTAGCGGTTCAGCACACCGCCTTACTTCTTATAGTGGCGGGGTGGATTCCACGCACGGTACCAACATTTGTATTAGTGATTACTTGTATCGGTCTAGGTGTTTTTATGTGTATTATGTATGTATTTACAACGGTACCAACATTTGTATAAACCAAATCTGATTGATCTTTTTTATTACGTTTCAAATTTTAAACCAAATCTTTGATTCAGACAGAATTCTCCCAAGTTTAAGGGTAAAGAACCAATTCAGCATAAATAGGGCTTGAGTAATTTTAAAATATGCTCTTATAATAATAAAAACCTTACAATAGTAAGGTTTTTTAAACAATTATTTTATTTTTTAAACAATTTTTGTCTTTATCTGCTATTGTTTGTAGTTTAATTGCTGTTGACAAAACGAAAAAAATTACGAAACTACTTTGAAAAAAAAAAGCGTTTTTCAACCCTTTTTATGTTTTTTCATCCCTTTCCCGTCAACACAAATAAACTTTCTTTATTAATATTATTATTCACGTATTTACGGACTTATTTTTTTCTATAAATGTGTATATAGTCCATAAAAATTTATTTTAAAAATTTACTGGACCCAGGGTCTATCATATTAAATGATAAATGTACACTTAATGTTATATTTTTTATTATATCCCTCACTTATTTAATATTTAGTTAAATATATTTTAAGGCATACAGTACACAGTTTGGCGGAATTCACCACACTGTATTTTCTACCAATCAATCATGGAAATAAAATTATAAATAAAAAACAAAAATGGCATAAAACATAAACAAATCGTAAAATATAAAAAAAGGGATATCATAATATAATGAATAATATGTACTTATATGTAATGGATAAAGACATAATATAGGCACTTAAATAAATACCATACAGTTATTCATTAAAATCAAACAAAAACATCCAACGATAAATAATATTATACAAAAAAAATTAAAACATAGAACAATCGTAACTTTATACACGAGTTGATGACAGAAGAGATGTGTCATTGGGATTAGCATGTTCGTTTTAAAAAGACTGGTAAGTTTTGGTTAAGCATACTTTCTTAGTACTTAATTGTAATGTCAAGAAAATAAAGTTATAATTAAGATAGAGATAGATTATTTATTATTATTAATCACAATCATATGTCGGATTATTTACAGTAGTAGTAGGTGCTGCATAAAGAGGGTTGTTCCTGACACTCGAGAGGCGTTCCAGCTTCATGAAGTTCTGGTACTCCCGACGGTCACGTGCGTTTACTAGAAGCTTCCAGCCAATTAGTGTTCCTATACCCACCAAGATGAGGGTCCCTAAGAACGTACCACCTAGTACTGAAAATACAGAAATATTGAGGAAGGAGATTGCAGAATCTTCATGCAATTGTATTCTTGAACCAAAAATTATACTATTCCTAGTCATTTAAAGTAATTGTCACTCTTTAACAGATTAAGTGATAAATATAGACTTCGACTTTAAATAAGTGATTTACACTGACTCAGTGGTCTAGTACATCGTCTTACTTCCAATGATCGCTGGTTATGATCTGATGATTGTTTTTTATTCTTTATTGTATATATTGTAGGAAGCATTACAAATCTATACAAATAAATAATATTAAGGTGTATTTGTAAGTTAATTTACAAATTCAGTAATTTCACTAAAATTCAGTGAAATAACTGTATACATTTAATGTATATGATACATCTACGGAACTTACACATCAAAATATTTGTTAAAAAAACATATCTGTCTACTATGTTTGTGCTTGCGAATTTCTGGCTGAATCGATTTTAATGGGACTTTCACTACCAGATTGCTAATGTTGTAAGGTGTAATTTAGAGTAATATTACTTGATAAATTTTATTTATTTTAATCCTACGCGGACGAAGTTGCAGGTACAGCTAGTTTGGTTAAAAAATATATAAAGAGATTTACAAGGGCGATGTACAAGGGCTCTCTGTAAAGAGATTTTTTCCAGCAAGCCTCAAAACGTTATAAAATAGTGTATTGACTAGAATAAGTGTACGCAGCTATAATGCCTGATCTGAGGACACAACAGAAACTCTTTAAAAGTAGGTATGCCTGTTTTGAATCTTTCTACAATATCTAAATATTAATCATAACATTATACAAGCCGTAGTCAATTTTGTGCTCAAAATTATTATACTTACCATAATAATTTTGGAGACAGTCTTTATCCTTTTGAACCAATACTTCTATGCCATCGATTCCAGTATAACGGTAATGATAAAGCGTGTAACATCCAAATCCTACACTAATTTCTGGACAAATATTCCACTTGATGCTGTCGTTGACTTCTTTTACTTCTGTTAGTTTCTCAACAAGAATTAATTTAAACGGGTCACATACGTGGCATATGTCGGGTGTGTATGTATCGAGATGTTGGTGTAAACATGCGACACAGTCCTCTAATAAAGTACATTGTGTAGGACAGTCGGTGCAAGGCAAGATTTCACAGTATTCATTTATTTTTTTACGTGCATCCCAATGCGGGGGTTGTTTACATTTGCATTCGTTACAGACGCACTCAGCTTGGTTATTACACAACTGAAAGAAATCAGTGGATATTGTCATATATTCAATTATTACTTGGTTATATTTATTTTACATTATTGGTTATATTTTTTTATGTTCTAGTTATGTTACGTTTTGTTAATTATAAAAAATAACGTAATTGATCCATCCGTCCATCATTCATTATTCAGAATTGTAAAAAAATCATTTCTCTCTAAATTATTAAGGTCAATGACTGTTTAGGATATTCTCAATATAGTCGTATAATGTACAATTTTTTTACAGTGGTTTTATTAGTGCAGGAAATACTTACTCCATACACATACTAACTACTTTGTTGAGTTCCACGTGTAAATGTAAGCTCTATTTACGTATATATGTAATTACCGGAAATTGGTATTACTGAACTTATACTCCAACAATATAAACAATGTTGTGAACATGACCACTCAATAGATTTTCATGGTAATGCGAAAAATTTAATTTATAGTTACTGATTGTTGATTTTCGAAGTAATCTTAAAAATAATTTATGTGTTGGATAGCTTATTTATCAAGGAAAACTATGGGTTATGTAACTTTATGGAGTATTAAAAGGAGCGAGGCTGTAATGAAATGTTGCAAAAATGTGATGCAGGCGAAGTTGCTCTGGGCAATTAATAATATGTATATCATTACTAATATTATAAATGTGAAAGTGACTCCGTCTGTCTATTTATCTGTCATGCCAAAACAACTGAATCGATTTATATTTGGCGAACAGATAGTCTAGACTCTGAGAAAGGAGATAGGCTACTTTTTAATAAACAGAAAAGTTATATGGAGTTATCGTCATTTTTGAAGCTAGAACGATGAAACTTTTTCTTTGGGTCAAGTTCACAATTCCACGCCGACGAAGTAATGGGCACAGCTAGTAATTTTATAAAAAATAATCTAAACTCACTTTGTCGTTTTGTTTATTCGTACATGCAACATTTGTTTCGTCACATTCGCAAGTAGGGCCAGACCAATCTGCATGGCAAATACATTTACCACATTCGCAATCTCCATGTCCATTGCATATACCATTGCTAGTTCTCAAGCAGCTTTCATTATCACACTCACAATATGTACCAGTGTATTTTTTACCATTGTTTCTGTAAATATGTGTTTAATAAAATATTAGCAATAAAGATACTTTTGATAAAATACAATGTCACTTTAATTTAATAAAATCCAGTGTGGAAGTATCTAGTTTGCGCCAAAACTACTAAATCGATGTAAATTAAATTTTTAGATAGATATAGGGTACTTGAATTCATAATGAGTGTTTTTTTTCGAAGTTTACGGATTCGTTTTCAATTAATGGTTCCAAATATATTAATCGAAGTATTGTCCATCGCTGGCCTAACCTTTTTCCATTTTTCTGGTAATTTTCGGTTGCCAGCTCGAAAAAATTATTCGTCTTTTGAGGCAATCCAATCATAGACCCATTTTTTGGATTGTCCATATGAAGTGAACCTCAGCTGGGTCAGACCCATGTGTCATCGACTGGAATAAGTAATAATCCGAAGGAGCAACAGCGGGTGGGGTAGGACTTCCCATTTCAGAGTTTCTAGGTAGATTTTACCGGTTTTGTAACATGTGGCCGAGCGTGTGTCATGCTGCAAAATCACTTTGTTGTGCCTTTCTTCGAATTTTAGCCGATTTTGCTTCAGTATGACGCTTATTGGCATGAGTTGATTCTGATAGCATTCCCCGTGATTATTTCATTCGGTTCGAACAGCTCAGCAGTAGATGACGCTGCTGATCCCACCAAATACAGAGCATAAGCTTCATGTCATGGCTTTGCGAAGAATGTTGATGGCTGTCCGGGCAGTCCCATGACTTTTTGCGCTAGGGTTATCATAACGAATCCACTTTTCATCGCCAGTGATAATGCGATTCAAAAAGCCCTTCCTTTTTTGGCATGAAGAAGAACTCCCCGCAAATACAAAGCGTATTTGCGGGGAGTTCTTCTTTATGTCATCTGCTACGTAATTGGACATGTTCGAAACAATATTTAGTACTGTTGTATACGTTACAACCAAATGATACTAGCTATTTAAGACGACCACAGAGAAGAGAGTGTAGGTTTTAGCGGGAAGACATTGCAAATTGGAATATTGAAACATACACTGGTGGCGGCCTCTTGATCGAAACGCTCATTATTAATTCAAGTACCCTATAGTTATTAATCTCTGAAAAGGACATAGGCTAATTTTTAATGCGAAAAAAGAGTTATAAGGTATTCAAAGGGGTGATGAAAATATTACGTACAACGTTACGTCAGTAAATATCAAATATGAAAATGCAACCATTTTACAAAATTGTCAAGTATATACTTAACTGACAAAATTTATTCGACTTTAATTGTATATTAAGCTCTCTTAATAAAAAAATAAAAAAAGTAATATCACCCAAAGTTCAAACAATGACATGTTCCACAAATGCATGATCCACGACCGCTACAAATGATGCCACTTGAATCGCCAGTGGGGCTACAAGTGGAGTTGTCGTTGGCCAAGTTATTCTCGTTCTTTGTGCAGGCACATTTAACGCCATGTCTGAGTGAAGCATGCGTAGTAAGGTTATTTAACACTCAAAAAATTTTATTTACACATCAAGTTACAATCAATTTCAAAAAGTTACACGTTTTATGAGCCCATACCTGTTCGCATTACAATTACAAATTCCGCACTCCAAAGTTCCCCATTTACTACATTCTTCGGAGTTAATTTCCCTCTTATTTTCGCATTCACATTGCTTTATTACTTCTATATCCAATGATAATCTTTCGTTAATACCTTCTATTACTATATCTAATAACATGTCATCGCCTTCATGATATTCTTTAAGTTTTATAGAGCCAGTAAAATGTTTCTCTTCGCCTTTTTTAATATTGCAATACTCTTTAGTTTTTGTTAGACCAGTGCAATTGGGATTAAATGTTATTTCGTAATCTCTTTTTTGATTTGATTTAATATTAGCTTTTAATCTTATAGTAGTAGATATTTCCTTAAACATAGATAAAAAGTTTTTAAGACCTAATGTAATGTAATACTAACCGTATTAGATTAGGGGGAAGTGGGGCAGATTGGGACAAGGGGCACATTGATACACGTGTATTATTTCGTAAACGATTAAATGTTTACGAAATAATATTCGTAACGATTAAATGACAACTCTGAAACACGTCTTTAAACTTCTGAACGCGACCGTTGTGATTACGCTAACAGCCAGTCAACCGGTGGCTTTTAGCAGGAGAGAAAATGTTTCGAGCGTGGGTAACTAAAAAAATACGTGAGATTTAAAAGTGTTTTTACGATCTGCTGAGCCATCTTGTGATGATCAATGTATCCCAAAGGTAAGTTAGGGCATCAAATATTAAAGACTTTGCACGTGTTTTACAATAATTAACTTAGTATCTTTAGTGAAACCTGCTTTTTATAAAAATTATTTTTGTGGAAGTTTGATACAGGAGAGTACGGGGCACAATGATACGTATCAATGTTCCCCGTGACTTCAATAAAGTATTAATTTTGTAAAAAAATTGTATTGTATTTTCAGAAAATGGTGCGAACATATAAACCAAATACTGAAAGACGTAGTACAGGTGATGACTCGATCAAGTGGGCCGTATCTAAAGTTATTTCAACGAGATTATCCATACGGAAAGCAGATGACAAATATCTAACTGGAACTCTATAAAATCGTGTTGAAAAGTTTAGTTTTAGAATTTATGTTAACCTATTAGATTATTATATTTATTTTTTAATAAACGAGTCAAGTATAATTTGTTTTTTGTTTAGCGATCCTGTTTTGAATAATGGTGATATTCTGAAGTATTAGTTTTGTTAAGAAAGAAGTGTTTTTTTTTTGTTAAAATGTAAAACTGATTGTAAATTAATTATTTCACAATAAATGTATTATTTTACATGAAAGTGTTATTATTTAAACCAGATTCATACAATTTCCACTCTGTATCAAAGTGCCTCAATGTGTGTATCAAAGTGCCCCGTAGGTGGGGCAGAATGATGCTAAACTGTTTTTTTACTGAAATCAATATATCGTTATATCTAATATAATTAAGCGGGTATTTCGTACCAAAACACAAACCTGAATTGTTGACCAATGCACACGGCAAAAAAAAAGTTGAAATGTGATGTTTTTAGTATATTAAAAAAGGCTTTGAATTTTTGTGCATCAATCTGCCCCACTTCCCCCTACACTGAAGATAATTATTTATTTATTTAGGTAATCAACAACTTATACAATACATATTTAATGTTTAGTATTACATTTTTAGTAAAGCCAATGAGAAATATTTCATAAATTTATCGTAATATGTAACAGAGTGACATTATCAAGCAATTTTAATAAATATTTTATTTAAGCACCAATACGAAGTACAATAACGTTATCTGTTTAATTACAAAACAAAAAGAGAACATGTTGACCATTTCAGTTGGTAAACAGTTAAGGTCAGAGCCAAAGTTAGGTAACAGGAATGTAATGTAATAAGTAAATTACGTTACAAACACATAATAGTCATCCGTATAATTATATATATATATATATATGAAATGTGTTTATATGACAATGTGTCTATTTAAATTGTATCATTACATTTCATAAGACCTACGACATTTGTGTACCTACACCTATGTTACTACTAGGTAAAAACTTTACAGACAATCAATCGAACGATCTTCCCATTCCTTATATACTAAACATTTTAAATGTTTTGGACATGTTTTTTGAAGAAACAGTTATTACGCGACTATTTTCTAATGAAAGCATTTCATGTTTTTTACAATTACCTACGTACGAGGAAGAAGGTTCTTATATTTTTGGTAATAGGGAGATCAGACTACTGAACCAAATTAGTGGACAATTGTAACATATGTAAAGAAAACACTCTTGATTCGTGAAGAATTAGAATAAGATGAGTAAATTATTATAGCTAAGATATCTGTATGTCTGTTGCTCCTAACTTTGAGAAAAAATATTAGTGTCGTCAGCATATATTAAAAATTTCGAATGTGTAAGGTACGAATAAATGTCATACATAATAGAAACAAAATATATTGTTTTACTAACCTCATAAATTTTTTCCAAAGTTTTAACAAAGTCGTTCTCATTTACAATTTTTGATCCATCAATGGCTGTACTCAATATGTCGTAAGTTTTAAAAGTATTTTTATTATTTATAACGAATATAATTGTTGCTTCTATTTTTGTAGCTAATTTGTCAATAATGCTGACGGATGGATAATCCATCTCTACTTCTTTTGTATAAATGCCTTCCTTATTAGTATAGCATTTACCGTCATAGGGTGTATATATTCCTCCAGATATACCATCCCCTGCAGCATGATATTCCGCGTCTGTTAAAAATACAACTATTTTTCTTGATTGCTTCCTCCAACCAATTTCATCACTGCAGGCCAACACCTGAGCTAATGCATCCAGGCCCCCTTCCGGTGTATCGAAATTTGTTCCATACGGCACATTTTTCACGACCTCTCTAAACTTTTCTGCATCATTAGTTAATTTCAAATGATTCCGAAAAGAATAAGTCATACTGCTGTTAACTTCTCTATAAATATAAAGTAAATTTTCATTAATATTGAGTAAAAATTTTGCTTTAATAAATACAAAACTCGTATTGCTATTTGTGTTGGAATAATAATAATAAACTCTTCATTCTGTAGTCAGAAGAAACAAATGACTGGATGTCACATGTACATAAATAAATTATAGAGAATTAATATAATTTACAGAAAGACAATGCTAATGCTATTACTTATTACTACTAGTAGTATACTTATTATTACTAATATTGATAAAATTAAATTATAAAATCAATCTGGTCTAACATACTTTGCGAACGGCAATGCGTTTTTGTCAACATATGCACCCATTCCTAGATGAACATTATTCGTGAGACTTTTCATAGTATGGTATACATTTTCACTTTGATTTGCTATTTGATTTTTAACGTCACTCATAGTAATAGATACATCTAATAGGAAATACAAATCGACTGGATAGTCTACGGCCGGTTTGAATGAAAAATTAAAATTCGTAGGAATTCCCACTCGGAGGTTCATTTTCAATTTTTGCGGTCGTATTTGCGTTACTTCGCTTGAATCAGAACTAAAGTTTTTATTATCTCTTTCCAATAATTCAATTGTACTATTTGGTCTTTGTAGTGATGTCGGACACCAATTTTCTGTATATAAATCCAGAGATTTGCATCTTTCACCCGTTATGTTTTTCTGAAAATAGACACAATTGCTGTTATACGACGCTGATAAACATCCTTACTTATACTTTGCTCATTACAATTTATTTTTAGGAAATGATGAACTCAATTTTTCATTATCTACATACGTTCTAACCTCATTATCCACTTGTTTTTAAGTAACGGCAGTGATTAACAAACTGATCACCTATTTTATCGAAAGCGGCAACCGTCATATATTTCCTAGCTTGCTATATTACTTGTTATATATTGTATACTAATTGGCCTTTAGATATTACCGAAACCTACCTTACAAAGCTAATTATACAATTGGCTGATACATATAAAGAAATACTGTTTTTTTACCATAATATATACAGATACGCATTACGTATCTCATGAATACTATTTACATACATGTTACAAGACAACATCTAGCCTAAAATATTTAATTAAAAAGAAGTATATATTTTACCTCAGAACACCAAATACAAATATTTTTGTCAGTAATACAGTCCCCACAAGTAGTCTTCAGTTCACAAGGATCAATTGAACAAACTCCATCGATAAACAGGAATGATATTAAATACAAAAAAGATTTCATTTTCAACAAATGCTTACATAACGTCCGTCACTACACTTTGTATTAAATGATTGTAGGTTCTATAAGTAATATTGAGGAAAAAATTGCCGCCTAAGGATAATATAGCGTTGTAATACCTATATATTTTATACAATATACCAGTTAAAGAGAAGTTTGTTTCAATTTCCACCTACTGCGCAGTGCGGTTGTTGGAAACTATTTTGGCTTATATAAATATATACATACATTTAGATTTTATTCATCTTTTCAAAATGTAATCGTTGATTATAATTTATAATAATTATAGAATAGAAAATTATTCATTCAAATAAATTTACATTGAAGCACTTTTGAATAGTCATCACGTCACTTATTTAGAAAAAGAAACTTGCGTGTTGTTTCTTTTAAATAATTTAGTTGTAACTTTACATTTTTAAATTGAAACGTGTAATTCAAACTACCAACAAACACTAAATTATTCCAATCAAATTATTAAATACACAGCCAACTGGTTGAGTAACTAATTAAGTGTAAATAGCAAAGCAGACCAGTGGCTACAAGCAGCACTTGTTCACGAGTATGACGGATGAGCCAGCCATCACTGTGCTCAACCATTTTACTATATACATGTACATTTCTAGAACGCCATCTAATGACGTTAATAAAAAAACTTTTTTATATAAAGCACGTGTACGATGCCATCTGTTATTTGACTACTGTAATTAATTTATGTAATTGTCTGTTTTGTATTGAATATACTTATAAAATCTTTACAAACAATCAGCAGCATTAGTTGTTCACGATTTTACCATTTTATTAACATTAAACATTATATCTCAACTGCACACATTTAACATCATTATCGTTGTCATATTTTTTTTTGTTAAAGGATTATTTTGCCAGTAAAAATATTGTGAATTTGCGAACTTATTATAAAAAAATTACAAAAAGTATTATTATATAATTGTTAATAAAGATTTTTTTATCCAATTGTTTTTTGTACCGTAGTGCAAGCGTTAAAAAAAGTCACATACCATTGTTATTTCTAAATGTCAGACAGACATATATATATATGTATATATAAATGAATTGATGTTTGATAGATTCACTGAAACTCGAGAAATGCAAGACTGTTTTAGCTAAATTTGTAGAAATTCAAAGAAGGTTTAAAAGTAAATTTGTAAATTTGTGAGAAATAGGCGTATGTTGCGTACCTAAATTTAATAAAAACTTTAACGCAATACATATTTTTAAGAACATTAACCGTTTTTGTTACCTTTACTACTACATTACAAATCCGTTTAGAGCATAGATATACATTTTTATAATTTCGACCATATATTTTAAAAGTTTCAACAATAATTAATATTACGTTTGTTACATATATTAATAGAACTGAACGGTAGGTTAAAATGTTCTTACAAAAAACTCGAACTTGAACGAGATTGCAACAGACTTGATTGTAAGTGATTACCGTCGCCCATGAGCACTCATAAGATCAGAGGAATTACAGGTGAGTTATATATATGTAAAATTAAAAATATCACGTTTTATTTATTACTTGAGTTCTCAACATTTCGCCTGTTGAAAAAAAGCCCAAATATTGGGAACTCAATAATCTATACCTACGTATAAATAAAATTGGAGTGTCTGTTTGTAATATTGAAATAACCGCTTTTACAGTACACTGTACTTTTTTTTGGGTACAGTACACCAAAATAACATTTCTTACATTTTTTGTCTGTCTGTCTGTTTGTTCCGGCTAATCTCTGAAATGGCCTCTGAAATGACTAATTTAGACGGGACTTTTTTTGGTAGGTAGCTGATGTAATAAAGAGTAACTTAGACTACTTTTATTTTAGAAAAAACTTAATTTACAAAAATAAAAAGTAAGTTCCACGCAGACGAAGTCGCGGGTACAATTAGTAATAAATAAAGCGCAATAATAAATAAGGTGTAATAAACAATGATCGCGTCAAATTTAAAAAAGTGTACAGGTGAGTTATTTTACAGACAGGTTTCATTATTATTTCTATTACTAAATCCAAGTTTTAAAAAAATATGTACTACAGTTTATTTATATAAAAAAGCGCCTAGTGTCTGGTCTTTAAATACATAATATCAGTTCTGTACACAATATCCCATGTAATATGGGATATTGTGTATGTGTGTAGTGTATGTATGTTAGATTTAGGTATATTTATTATCCTTATTAATAATTGGTATCCGTGTTAATGTAACTGAAATAATATATTAGTAACCATTTCGTCATGTTCAATGTTAATGTTATGGTGATGATGTCGGTTAATTATTAAACCCATTTTTTAACGTATCGTGTATAACAATATTGAAGTAATAATGTACGTGATTACTGTACTAATATTATTTGCGACTATACATTTATCACAAGCAGGTATTAATGTTACTTGTACTAGTTTTGATTCTTGTCGCATTTGTCCTGTGAGCCGGGGCGTTGTCGTGTAGCAAGATTTTTCCCTCGTGCCTTTCCTGACAAATGCATCAGTTTCGGTGATGCCAGGTGTGTGTGGTGCAGTCAGGTATGTTTTATAGATATAGGCACTTATTACTTAATATATTTAATTATTTATTAAAACTTGCATATGGCGGGCTTAACATTATAAGGCATTTTTCCCAGTCGACCATAAGCATACAGAGATTGGTATGTATGTATTTGTATATATATATTTCAATATATGATTTTTTTATAATTGTACCTACTTCCTTTTATTATTCTTAATTTCATGTTATTATTTACTTAAATGCACCGCCAGTGCATTTAAGTACCTACCTAAATAATAACACCCAAATACATACTTAAATAAGAATACATATATAATAATAAGCACATAATAATATACATATATACTAAATACAAACAACAATGAATAGTCCAGTGAAAGCGGAAGTTTATTTTATTAAACTTTATTGGAACGACATATATTTTGTTCGCCTTTCCAATTACAAATATGGTATTTACTACGAAATGACAACCCAAAAGATTCACAATATTTTTATTTATCCTATAAAGTCGCCAGTTCAATGTAACAGAAATGTTTGGACTGGTAACTATAATTCGATAAAACAAATATTTTCATGCAATTGGAAAGGTTACCACTTACCATCAGGTAGGTCGATAGATTGCCTAGCGTTTGCATATGCAGATGAACAATACTACGGATGTCGCGTTAGCACCACTCGAGCGTTGCCATTGTGGAGCATGTCATGGCTTCATATCCTGTATCTATCTCAATATCTACACGAAACAACTTTTTGTTTAGCTAATTATTTATTATAGTATTAATATCACAAATTTTCGCCATTACTGCCCTACAACGCTTTCTAGTTCTACCCAAAGGTTAGCTGGTAGAGATTGCCATATGGCATTAAGCTCGCCTCTTGTACACTCTTTTAAAGTGCAATAAAGAATAAAAAAAAACATGTCTTACAAAGCAAGCTGCTTGGCGGCTGCAATAGACGAGACAGAGGTATTCCACGCAAACAAATTCCTACAAAGTCTACCTTAAACAAAGCAATGTAAAGTTCGGTAGAATTTTCGGATCTGAGATTACATCAACAGCTTATTTATTATTATTTATATTAATCTTAAATACTCCGTGTGGTGATAGAGTAAGAATATAAACTAGCGGAATTCTTTTCTCGTAAGACTACGAAAACATTTTGTTTCCCTAATAAGGAAATGAAACTCGAAATATTACAACATCATGTTCTCATTAAGTTGTGGAATAAATCTTCCTCGTATATAAAATATACCCTATTATAGTATGCAAAAGAGTTATTGTGACACTATATTTATTATGGAAAAATGATTATTATTTTAAGGAAAATATGTATACAACTCCGTAACTAAAGCTATAAATAGAACCCTTATGATGTCACTGTCGGTTCACATGTCCCTCCAATTTTAAAGTATTTAGTCTGTCTTAGGTGTTATTAATATAAAGTGTACAAGTTACAACAATAAATATGGAAATATATTTTAAAGAGGAATTTAATTAATTATAACAAATATGCCAGTTAGTTCCATATATACAGGAAAAAACCTTTTTATAGACTTTCGATGGTAATTGTATCTTTACCTGTAACTGCATTGCAGTGAATAGAAAGATATGATGTCTTAGTTCTGTACAATGGCAATACAGTTGCGTATGTCACATAATACTGCGATGTCTGTAGTGCTGTTCTTGTATATAGGCGATGGTTACTATTTGCCCATGTAATGACAAGTGAATTATATAAAAAAATAAATAAAACTATGTTTACAAATAAAAACTATACGTTTAGTTTATACTAGCAGTGCCTGCGGTTTCACCCGCGGTAAATTTTAATATAAAATATAGCCCATATGTTATTTTGATGCATAAGCTATATCACTGTAAAGATTCATCAAAATCCGTTCTGTAGTTTTTGCGTAAAAGAGTAACAAACAAGTATATTTTGAAACTTTCGCATTTATAATATTATTATATATATCAAGATTATGATCATCTGTAAGGAATCTTACTGTAAGGAACCATACCCGATTCGCATTTGATAGATTTTTGAACTGAACGAAATATGTAAATAGATACTAAATTGGTACATGACACTATCAAATTTTGTCATATTTACTTCCATTATAAATAATGATTTTATCATTACAGTCAGGGCCGACGATTTCAAGTCGACGATGTCAAACGGAGAATTTCAGTAAAACTAATAAAACATGGTGCAATGAGGACTACATAATAAATCCAAAACCTGAAAAACCTGTTGTCATGCAAAACAAAGAATTTTCATCAAACATATCTGAAGCCATACAGCTTCGGCCGCAGCATTTGAAAATAAAAACCCGACCCGGAGTCCCTGTTACTTTTAATATAACGTATAAGGAGGCTACACATTATCCTTTAGATGTTTATTATCTTATGGATTACTCTAATACAATGGCGAATCTGACAAAGACTCTTCGTGAACAGGGTAGAAAGCTTTTAAAAAAACTTAAACTATTTACTAATAATGTTCAATTCGGTGTTGGAAGTTTTGTGGATAAGGCGGCTCTTCCTTATGCTAAGTATGTTTATTCTTAATACCATTTTCATTAATCTCTTGAAACATTTCAAAGCTATAAATATTATTGTCCTGTATTATTATTAGGTAATTAGTCTATTATGTACTAGTCAAGTCTGTACGACTACTTAGGAGATTACTTGGCTTTAGTTGTACAGGCACATCACAAACACATTGAATAGAGTAGATTTTCGTTGCATGTTCATCATCATTATCATCGCAGCCCGGAAGACGTCCATTGCTGGACATAAGCGTTGCATGTTATTACAACATAATTCATATATTAATTAAAAAAAACTATATATTTCGTGGAAAATAATATCGGAACTAGAGGGTAGAGTTATAAGTAATGACAAGAATATAACGTACCAAAAAAAAAGTACTTATTTAGTACAAGTATCCAAATTATGTTGATTTGAACTGAAACTTATATTTTATTTGCAGCCCATTACTTCATGAAGCATATTCATTTAGAAACCATCTTAACTTGACTAATAATATGTCGTTGTTTGAAAATGCATTAGACGAAGTACCTTCAGGGTCGAACTATGATGATCCAGAGGCAGGACTTGACGCATTGATGCAAGTGATGAAATGTGAAAAGGAGTTAGGATGGCGACCTGCAGCTAGACGTATTATAGTTCTATGTACAGATAACACATATCACAGCGCGGGAGATGGCAAGATGGTAGGGGCTGCCATTCCTAATGATATGAAATGTCATTTAAATAGCACAGGATACTATGACTCAAATTTAGTGTATGACTATCCATCAGTTTCTCAAATTAATAGTGTTGCATCAAAGGGGGGTTTCCTAATTATATTCGCTGCTGTAAAGGCTGTTAAAAAAGAATATGAGGCATTAAAACAAAGTATACAAGGTTCTCAGTATGTCGAGTTTAAAGAAAGCTCTATGATTGTGGAACAAATAGAGAGTGAATATATGGTACGTATCTTAAACATAGTTATTTTTTGGATAATGGGGTTTTTATGAAATTATTGTTTATATAATTGTAGTTACACAGACTTGGATCGACCTACTGAGTACGAATCTACTCGACACCGAACACTTTGTGTAACAATTTATATTTCTGGCATTATTATGCCATACATACAGCTTGATGGAATCACCAATATTAAACTAACTTAATCTGAGGATTCATTTAGTTTGATAGGTACCTTGACTACCCCAAGAGTCGCGACGCTATATTACTATTAGTATTGTTTGAACGAAATTGTGCTTTGTCTTGTTACGATTCTTCAGATTCATATAACATACAGTCAGGGTATATTATAGACCTGAAATAGACAGACGCATTGTCAACTATTGACGTCGGTGGTGGTATACATACAATTAACTTGTATATTTGAATCCGACATGGCAGAAGGCAAGCCTGCCACACTACCGAGATATCAATTCCCTTTCGCGTAATTTTTTTTGTTTGTTATCTGTGTTTCCTTTACCGGTGTGTCAGCCAGAAATATAAATTGAAACTATATCTTTTGTGTAGAGCTGTTGATTCTAACCGGGGTTTCACACCGCCTTATCGATGGTTGTGGCTTCGAATCCTCGTTCTGTGTATATTATGTTATTGTTTACAAGAATACATAATAAATGTTTAGGTGTTTATGACAATGTATTGAAGTGTAGTACCCATAACACAAAGTCTCCTATCTATCTTATCTTGGGATTAGATGATACTGTGTAAAATTGCATTATTATTATTATTGTTAATCAAAATTTGTGTAATTTATCTTTATTTTAGAAATCCGTTACTCATATGCAAATATATTATGATAAACTTCAAAATGTCCAATTTACGGTAGACCCTGATTGTTCAAAAGAAAAGACGTGTAAAATTGAGCACAATAAAACCTTCACAATGAATGCCACTCTCGTAGTCAAGAAATGTGCACCAAACAAAACAGAAAAACTTGTAATGAAAGTGAATCCAATAAATCTCAAAGATATATTGAAAATAGAAATTGAAGTAATATGCAATTGTGAGTGCGAGAAAAACGACAGAAATTTGACCGAGATGTGCAACAATGCTGGTCATTTGAAATGTGGAATATGTAAATGTAATGAAGGAAGGTAATGGATTTCATTTCTTTTTATGTAACTGGAATGTCAAACAAGTTGACTGTCCGCCTGATGCTAAGCATCGTCATTTGATGACTGTGGTACCTACCACATGTCATCATCACAAGGGTAAGCACTTTGCCCTCAAGGATGACTAACATGTCATGCTTTGGTACGTTGTAATTTTACTGACGCGTGTGGTGGCCTACCGGTTCACCACACCGCTTTACTTCCGATGGTAGTGGGTTCGATTCCTCGCACGGTACACACATGAGTTTTCCTGAGTATGATTGTTGGTTTTGGTCTCGGTGTTTTCTATGTATAGTATTACAAAAAAAATGTATCTAAGTATATCATTCAGATGTCTACCACATAACACAAGCTCTGCTTAGCCTGGGACTAGATGGCGCTAGTCGCGTGACTAGATACACGCGCGTATATGGCGTGTGAATTGTACAGGGATATTATTTGTCTCACCAATCAATTGAAACAGTTTACAAAACAAGCTGCTCGGCAGCTGAAATAAGTGAGTTACAAAGGCTGACGATCTTTTGCAGTCATCCTAGGTGTAATGTTAATAATGCTACTCATTTATTTTTTGTTGATAATAATAATTTATAACCCAGATTTATAGGTGTCAAAAGTCGTGACAATGAATTAAGTCGTGTCGACTCATCGTGTATGTTAATTTTCATGTCAATTTAAATTTACGACTATCTCGCTGGGGATAATGATACTGACAACAGACTGAATTATTCCGGGAGGCGGTAGTAGGTAACCCTTTGCCATGGTCATCATATTAATATACCGAGTTCGAATTTTATATACCGAATATATAATTCGGTATATAATAATAAATGTTTATTAACCTATTCGTTTCGTCTGTTCATGGCAAATGTCTACCGTATTTAATACATACACCTATGATTTCACTGTTATATCTCACATTTATTATAATCCCGTTTTGTACCATTTGCACGCTTCAAAAAAATGCTTATACTATACAATGGGCGCTGTAGCATGGTGCGGGTAACAGTTTCAGTAACGTTTCGTTTCATTCTTGAAATTTGCCGCGATTTGCAAATTATGGCTTAGTATTTTAGTTGTACCACATTTGTAATATATTAAATCATTATTAACTCTAGTAACTTAAATTTAACCCAGCCAGAATGTTCCAGTCTACAAATAAAACGTCATACAGGCAACTCCTCGCATGCCGCGCTGTAGCACGGTGCGGGTGACCACATGGTCACTCGCACTATACTACAGCGCACATAGTATAATGCCAATCTGTTGTGTGTGCTAATAAATACCAAATCTCGATTTAGCACACAAGCAACTTTCATGTTTGCAGAATTAATTAATATATTAATTTGTAGAATTGGTGATCAATGCCAGTGTTATAGTAATTCAACCAGCTCAACAGACCTGAATAAATGTAAATTTAACTCATCAGACATACATACATGTAGTGGACGCGGTACTTGCAAGTAAGTAAATTAATCGTAATTATTGAAATACTAGCTTTTATGGTCTATTGTATATATTATACAAATAGATACAGCTGTATTGTACATATATGTATAATAATCATTTCACATCATTACCTCTTTTCATGTCAATGAAACGTGTGTGTTTGCGGCCAGTCGCCGCTTACAGACGAGACACACACGTTCCATAGTACAGCGATATTCTATATATAATTTTCTATCAATTTATGTAACCTCCGATCATTCCCCGTACGATTCAAACGGGGATCGATATTACGACGGCCTGACCCGAGGTTCGAACCCCTAACGGTGCCCGACTCAGACTAAAGTCGTATCCGTTAGGGGGGAGTTGGTTCAGCCGATCCATAAGTCTTTTCGGGGGTTTGGAGTGTCATCTCCATTCGCCCCCCCATCGTCCGGTGTAGTTATAAAGGTCAGCTGTAGCCAATAGCATTAGATTAGACCGAAAAAAATTATGTAACCTTTCTTGTTAAACATTTCTTACCTCATTATTATAATACTACATACAATAGATAACACATTATCAGATTTGCTTTAGAGTCTTGTTGAATATCGATTTAAATCCAGCCCCATGGAAGGACTTATGGAGTCGCTAAAGGCCAACTACTGGCTGACGGATACGAATTTAGTCTGATCGTAGGTATATCTATGAATTGAAACCTCAGCTCAGGCCGCCGTAATTACGATTCTTGTTGAATTATTTATATTATATTAGATTCTTATTGAAGTTGGGATATTGGGATATTTCCCCTCCTCCCGATATTGACGGATATTGGGAGGAGGGGAAATATTCCAGCACCGTTTATACCAATACTAGCCAAAATCCGTAGTTGTCTGTATAAAACTTAATATGGTGGTCCCAATTCGTAGGGATAAGAGTAGGAAGATGATGGAAATTTTATATATATTGTCTCTATATTTTTAGTATTACTTATATGCCCATAAATTTATATTAACTAACATTTTGTGTACATAAGGTGTAGGAGAATCAACATAAAGACGATTTTGCGTTTGGAGTAGTGTTCGGTCAGTAGATAAATAAATAAAAAAATCCTTTATATCATATATTACAGGTGCTTATTATTAGCATATATAAAATGTTATTTTTAATCGGGAATTCTTTCACTTCAGTAACTTCCAGTCAGTGAAACTACAAATGAATTCGTTACTGAGACAGTAATGGACAGCAAAATGGCGTGACGATTCTAATGCTACTTACAGCTGTAAGTAGCATTAGAAACGTCACTGAACTGATGATCATTTTAGTGACAGTGACTACAGTACAAATGTAAAAACGTCCATAAGTTGATTTGCCTATATTGTGTTTCTAAGGTGTGGTGCATGCATAGATTGTTCACCTGGCTTTTCTGGAGCTTTTTGCCAGTTCGACGATACGGCGTGTCAACATCATGATGGAAAACTGTGCGCAAACAAAGGTGTATGTCACCTCGGAAGATGCGACTGTGAGGCCCACTGGTCTGGGAGTGATTGTAGTTGCCCTGATCATAATAACGACTGCATAGCACCATATTCTAAAGAAGTAGGTGGTGCCTTTTGAATTCACAATTGTTACTCTGGAATAGGGATTATGCATGTATTTTTTTGTATTTTCCTATTCAATTGTTTACATTACTACATATATATATATATAAATAAAAAAGTATTTTTAAGTAAATAATAGCCAAATTAAATGAACTATTTTGGCTAACTTGGTGTGAGTTAATGGTCTATAACAAAAACAAAAAACGAAGAGGTATTGTGCTTTCCTGAAATTTTCTATTTTCAACTAATATCAGGAATAATGGAACAACATTTAGAAGCCAATGCAAAACTTAAGGTACAATACGGTCAATGCAGTTTTTTCTTTTCTTGAAATGAAATCGTGGATGAAATGACAACAAAACAAAAAATATATATAGATAACCGGATAACTACGCACTCGGTAACATTGACATTCGTTGTTTTAGGCTTCTACATAAGTTTCGGTCTGATCTATAATGTTATTACAAATTGCCGTATATACCAATTTAAGCATTTCTTAACAAAAAAATGTATTGTTCACATACAGACTATGAAGTAAAATATTGATATGGGTTATGTTTCTAATGTAATATAATAATTTTCTAAAGTAATTGACTCATTTTAATTTACATGCATATTCCATATTTTCAATAATAAAAATTTTAATAAGATTTGATAATTCTTATATCAATTGGAAAAGAGTACCCTTCATAGTAGTTCAATAGAACTTTGATTGACTCTGATTCAATAGTTTGATTTTTAAATAACTGAGCGAAATATAAAATAGTTATATCTTCAAAAAAATAGTTCTAATTACTAAACTTTAAAATACGTTTTTATGGTATCAAATAAAATACAGGTCATAATAAATCTAAATCTTTACCAGGTGTGTTCCGGAAATGGCAAATGTCAGTGCGGTGAATGCAAATGTAAAAATGTGGAAGACGGAAATGAAGTCTACGGTGGGAAATTCTGTGATCTCTGCGATTATTGTACAGAAAAACGCTGTCAAGAGCTTGGCGCATACATTCACTGCGTCGTGTTTAATAATAAGAAACATTGCGATAAACAGTTTACGGAAACAGAAACCATTATAGATATAGTATCAAAGACGCATAATAATACAGAAAACTGGAATACAGCCTTAGAGTGCAATAAAGAGTTGGATAATGGCACTGCTATATTCTTTAAATATTACTATGACGACAAAAAAATACATTTTATAGTTCAAAGAGAGTTAAAAATACTTCCAAAGCCTAAAATTTGGGGTGAGTATATACAATATCTAATAAATGGTATATTTACAATGACACCAAATAACTTGTGGAATCATATTGACTTATATATTGATTAATAGTAGTTAATTTTTACTGGATTAAACGCGAGTTTAAATAGGGATATAGTTTTATAAAAAATATGGATGTAAATCAGTTGGTTCAGTGTCAATGATAATTCTTAGTTGCCGCTGATTGGTTGTTTGGTTGTTTAGTTATGTTTTAGCGATATATGTACAATTAAAGACTATTGAAATATTTAATTAGAATAATTTATTCAGTTATTAACTATGGGATGAAGTACACCACTGCTTGCTGGGTAACTGGCAAAATATCTGACATGTATGGTCATGCTGTTAACTGTATTTGTTTAATTACGCTTGTGTAAAAACAAATTTATGTCCATCAGTTGCTGTCGCCTCTGCTATAGGAGTAGTATTACTCATCGGATTATTGACGGGGATCGCATGGAAAATACTAATAGATAAACACGATAAAAAAGAGTATGATAAGTTCTCTGCCGAAGCTCAAGCACAAGGATTTGCTGTATCGAATCCATGGTACAGACCGCCGGACCACAATTTTGAGAATCCCGCTTTTAAAAATAGTTAAATACGAGAATGGATGTCACAACAAAGTAATAACATTTATTATAATTATTTTATTTTTTTAGCTTTAGTGCTTTTTATGTTATTTTATACCAACAGTGTCCTAAGAATTACCTGTCCCATTCTGTGGGGGATAGGACGGTTTTGCTTTAAATATATTTATTGTATCATAGGTTAAGTAATCGTTACTAATGAATTGGACTATTGTTGTCTGAAGTAAATAAATAATTATTATAACCTTATTGCGATAAAAATACTTATATAGCAGGTACATTTAAACTGATTAGTTTAATTTTATTCATCATCATCGTCATTATGATCTCAGCCCGGAAGACGTCCACTGCTGAACAATAATTAATGTATAATATGAGAACGTCCATCGTGGCCTAGTAGTTTACTATACAGACTTAATCTAAAAGGCAGTGAGTTGAAATCGTTTTTTTTTGGTGAATGAAGGCCGTCATTCAACATAAAAGGAACTTCTAAACGAAACCAAAAATAATTCGACGGTAGATTATCAATGTAATAGGTACTGGATGTCAATGGTGCTACAGGCGTTACATGATGACGTGATATTCATAGTACATTTAGATGACGATCTCGTAGGCACATATACATACAGGGATACTTGGAAAGGGTATACATAAGGGACTATACTATAACATTTCACTAATAACTAATTGAGCCCGCGTGATATTATTTCCGAAAACAATATTTTTTTCGATTAATTTTGTTTCATACAAAAATAAACAGTACCTACTATTTATTATAATCGGCAATACTATTATTTCGTATTTAATTAAAACATCCGACGCTCTAAAGTAGTGGAATAGTAAGTAGGGGTAGTAATATATAAAACAGCACGTTTACAAAAATTATCAATGTTGTTCTTTATTCGTATTATGGTAGGGTTGATTTTTATTTTTTATTGGACAATTGGCAATATTTAATTATAATTAGTATCATGCGCAAGTAATTTAGGTATATAGTGTCGACTTAATTACCTACTGGTTTCCACAGCATGCGTACATTTAATTATATCATGACAGCTGTGCTTTTTGTTATTATTCTATTTTTATATAACAGCAATTTTTTTAGAGAATCCATATTTTTTTGAAGAAGAATTGTTAAAGTCCTTCTTCTCTAAAAAAACATGGGTTTGTAGTACAAAAGTTATTCGTTACCATGGGTACTTTTAACCCTTGTGGCTTAGTACTTTTAACCCTTTCAGACTAACTCTGTATGTATACTAATTTTTCTATCACAATTATACTCGTATATAAAATATATGTAAAAATGTTTCATTTGGTATTCATTTGTGTACGTATTGTTTATTATATTAAATAATGAAATGCTTCTGTTTTCTTGTTTTATTACAACAATTTACAACGTGTAATAAATAAAATACAAATATAAGTTAACAAAAATATATGTAAAATAAATAAAAAAATTGACAATTTAGTTTACAAACCGTTTACAGTACATTCACACCGTGTTAATTATTTTATAATTTTGTTTACCAAATTTTCTAGATTTTTCTAGATTTAGAGTTTATTCAGTTCTTCTCAGATTAGAATCAACGATTCCTTTCTGTGTTTATACATTGGAATATCTATTCTGGTAAGGTCATGTGCGGGTGTTAGGTTTAGACAATCGTTGGGTCGTTTTTCGTTCGGTGTCGTGGGATGCACGGGGCCGACGTAAGCGAGTTGGTGTTTCCTCACTGTAAATCCTTTTTTCGCGTCGTTCTTCAGCATCTAGTCTACCCAAGACCGCCTGGTGAAAATAAATAGCGAATGCTAGTACGTACTAATAATAATTAATTAATTACTAAATATTCACTTTTGTTGTAATTCGTGTTTGAAATAATGTCTACCGTGTTTAGTACACGAAAAACCTGACAAATTAAGGACAACTCAAAAACTACTTGTTAGATATTCTTAAAATTTATATGGCATCATATAAAATCATCAAAATCGGTTTACGGACTTGTGAGGAAACACACATTAAAAAAATACAGTTAAATTGAGAACCTTCTCTAATGAAGTCGATTGAAAAGAAAAATACTTGGGATTACATATTACAATCTATATCTCTACAAATACAAGGCAATATCCTCATTTTATTGGTGCCAGTATCAATCGATGATATGTTAATGAGTTATTCAAAAATATATGTATTACTTACTCTATTTGATTCAGTTCTAGTGCGTTTAGAGTAACAACTGTTCACGTGGCCTGTTTCAAGATCCCCAGCTGACTTTCTCTCTTTAATCTCAAAATTAGAGGCACCAGTTTTACTGCATTCATTTTTCTTTTCCACATTGCATGAGGTAGCATTGGAATTACACCTAACAGAAATAATGGTGGTATTTAAGTGTACTATAGTATTTTGTATATTCTTTATTGCATTTTGAAATACAGTAGTAAACTTACCTTAACATAGCGTGGCATAGCTAGTAGTGAGTTGGTAATATATAATTTAATAATCAACAAATTTAATAATGTTTTAATGATATCCTTAAAACATAATTGAATTTACATAACTATAAATAAAATAAATCAAGGACATACATAAATATGTTTTAAACACAAATACATTTATTATAAATATGTATTTATATATTACTCAAAATACAAATAATAAAATACATGATGTCACTAGTCATACTAAGGTCGTATAAGTATTGTAATTTATAACCTATCCTGAAAGCAACCAATTGATCGACTTTTTATATGTAGAGCTAGTTTGTTTCTCAACTGAACAACGCGAATTGAAAAAAATTGAGACTTACAGTCTGGAAGTTTTAACATTTTTAAGTGGTTTTGGTAAAGCCACCTGGATTTAGCAGGAGAAGGTAAGAATTTAAAGCGGATTTGAGGTAGGAGGAACATTGATATTATTAAGGCTGTTAAAGAGCATATTAATTATTGTATTATAAATCCTGTCAGTAAATTAAGTCATTTGCAGAACATTTCTGCAAATATGAAATTGTAGTGAGATAAATGTATGTACATAATGTAAAGAGACGCATCTCTAGAAATACAATATATGTATATTTTACAGATGTAGGTATAATTGTTGGCTTAACGATTACTTTTGTTATCGGAAATAAGAAAATTAATCGTTTATTAATTAGGTATCCGTATCAGTTTCTATATTTGAAATGGTGTTGCGAGAAATTCTTATGATTTTCCATTTCAACTAAAAATTGTCTTTTAATACTTTATGATATTATTGTTAAAATGCTTTCTAAAACGACAAAATTTACTACTTATGCACCATTAAATACGTAAGGCTCCACTGACAAGGTGTCTGACATCTGACTGACCAATATTTTAAGTACCCTCACTACTTATGCTTTGTTTTTTAATTAGTACAGCTTACATTAAGTCTTTCTCTGATGCAGTAGGTATCAGTGGAGGCGGCTCATCGTGTGCGTTGACATCTGGACTGACGTCGCGCGAGATTGTTGGTGGTGTTCGGAAAATCGCCTCGCGCACTTTTTGTAGTCGACGTCTCTCTTCTGCCACTTTGCGATCTAATTCTGCAACTTAATTTAGGTCGCATCGTTAATTGTACAACTCAATTCTACACAATCAAGAAATTTGCGGCTAATATAAAAACATATCGGGAAATCTTATGTAATTGAAATGGCGATCTACTTGACGGCCCACTAGATGGTAAGTAGTGACCGTTGTTTATATCAATATCAATGAATAGCATCACAGAACATCAAGTCATCATTCATTCATTGGCATTAAGAATTAATTCTTTTATATCCGGAATTCCACTGCTTTATATAATTCACACGTCCATCAAGACTTATCTTACAAAGGAAGTTACTTGGTGACTAAAACACATAATAGTTACGCTTCTGCATAGGTTACCCAGTCATTTCAAGACTACCTCGGTAAATACAGAATATATAACACCTATTTATACATATGTGTAATATATTTATATATATATGTAGAAATTAATGAGTTACTGTGTTGTTGAGTGGAGCATTGTTTGTTTATAAGCTCATTTTCTAGCGAGTTTATTTTCTTTTGTAGAGCTTCCTCTTTACTCATTTTTGTTTTCCAAGTACGACACACTTTTAAATGCAAAAACGATAACTCTTGAGAATCCAAAGCCTGTAGTGACAACAGATAAACATCGGTATTAATGTACACAACAGAAATAAAATAGAAAACTGCTTCTTAACCGTCTCTTTCACATTGAACGTTTATATTGTTTAAAAAAAGCAAAAAAAATATTAATAACACTTTTTTGTGTTTTCATTACCCTATATCTATAATGTGAACTATCTGAAACTTAAATTTATAACTCTAAATTTTGATTCGAGTGGATGTTATAATTGAAGTTATATTTAAATGTTTATGATATGATCGTATTCGTTAACTTTGTCCGAGTTGGCTTTCATTCGCTCCATAAGTCCTTCCGCGGGTTTTGAGTGTCATCTGCACTCGCCCCCTAGTCTTTTAGTAGTTCTTTATGTTATTTCAATTATACTATTGGTTTACCTCAACAGTGCTCTTTAACATTTTATTAGCAATATACTTCACATAGGCATTTTCAGCTATTCTCCTTTGTTCGACGTCAACTTGATCAAATATGCTCCTTATCGTATCTGATATGTTGATATCAAGCGAACAAGTGCAAGGTCCATGTCGTCGAGATTTCGGTTTAACATCAAAAGCCTCTATATTTGTTTTGGTAAGCATTTTAGTATCGAATCTAGATCTCCTGCGCTTCTTCGTATCAAGTCCGTTTATTTTTAATGAATCCTAATGAAAAAATTTTAATAATATAATCGCAGTTCACCACTGTTTTAAAAATATATAGGATGCTGTTTAATAAGAATATATTATGTAACTTACGATATCCCAGCATGAATTATGACCTTGAATTTTCATCTTTAACTTTCTTACTTCCTTCTCAAGCTTATCTGATCTTCTCATGGCTTCAATACTGAAAGTTCTCAAGTTTTCTACTTCACTCTCATGTCTTGTGATTATATCTTGAAGCGTTTCTTCATGTAAATTCTGTATGCTTTTGACACCTTCGTTATGTTTATTTATTATGCTTTTTATATTGCTATCATAATGTAATTTAATAACTTCAATTTTTTTCTTGTAGTCGTTTTCAATATTATCCAAAGTTTTTGTTAAATATTGTATTTTAATGTCGTAATTTTCAGTATCTTCTAGTTTAGCCATAACACTTTGTTCGACAAACGATTTTGTTCTGCTTTCATTACTGGATTTGCTTGCACTTGTATTTGATGTAGTTTTATATTCCATAGAAGACAATTTTAACTGACTTAGCTTTGATGGACTAGATTCACTTCCTTCAGGTGTTTTGTTTTTACTAAATCTTTCGTCACTTCTACTTTTTCTAAATACTTTAACAGAGGATTTTATCTCATTATTATCTGGATTTGTTTCTTGCTGAACACTATCCAAAATGTATTGAAGTCCAAAATTTTCTAGTGATCGTTTGTTTTTAATATCATAATTACTTTTGTCGGCTAAATTTTTAATATTAACTTTAGATTTGATTACAAATACATCAGCACTGACTCGAACAAGTTTATGACAAGATTCATTAGAAAAGTTATAGTTATTTTCATTAGCAATTTCAGTTGTTTCATTAGTAGATTGTAGAATATCCTGTAATGACATCTTTAATGATAGATTTGAATCTGTATTATAATTTTCATTATTAGAGTTAGTAGGTATAGATAATACATCTTGAATAGACTTTTTCATAATTCCGTTATTATTATTATTATTATATAAATTTGTTAACGGATTGGGACTTGAGTATATCGCTATTGTGTACGAATCTAACGATTTCTTATCATATTCCGACGTCGTCGGACTATGTGTTTCAATGCGTGGTAAATTTATATTAAGTTTAGGCTTCACACTATCATCATTATTTTCTTCTTCTTTTATACATATATTATATCCTTTTTTGTTCTGATTTTCTACGGGTATATCAGAATTAACATGGGTTTTAATTTTTTTTGAATGTACAGTTACAGATTCAACTAATATTTGAGATTGCCCATCCCATGTCTTCTTATCATCATGGAACAAATCTTCATAAGTACTACCACTATCCTTATAAATAATAAATAGATCTTTATCTGTAGATTTTCCTGACAAGGAATGTTTTTTACTATTATTATTGCTATCTGTTTCAAAACTATCTGCTGTAAAATCTAAATTAGTAAATGCACTTTTACTAACTTTTGACTTTTGATTGTTCTCATTGTCTTTTTGGTCATCCTTGATCTTAGAAGCATTTAAGTGTAAAGATCCTTTATTGTAAATATCTATAAAATTAGGAGAGGTATGAATTTTAGCGGCATTTTCATCAGTTGTTAACGTTCTATCGTATTCATTATTATATTGATTAGGCAGTTCTTCATTAGAAAATGAGTACAGTTCTAAGTTACCCATACTAAGCCGTTGCATTTTGTAATTCAAATAACTGATCCTAATGAAGTCAAATGAAGATTCAATATTGGCTCTCAATATTTGTACTTCATTAACAGAGTGTGGCTTTTGTTTAGATGCTATATTAGGTACATCATTATAGTTTAACAATATATCTGACTGATTTTGTAATTTATCATTTGTACTATTTGTGTAATTATCAGATTCCATAGATGATAGAATATTATTGTCACGGTTTTGGAAATATTTATCTGTTTCAGATGCGACGGTTTTTTGAATATTTGAATAGCTACTCTGAATCGCAATATTCATACCTTCTCTGGTTTTTATTTTTTCCAAAGCTCTCTGTAATTCCGATATATCTCCACATTTTTGTTCTAATTCCAATTTAATTTTGTCTAACATTTCTAAATGTTTAATCTTATCTTCAGTTAAATGTTCCACTTTTCCTTCTAATTCTTTTACTTTTGCAGATGAACTTTGATACAAATTTTGAAGAGATTGCATATCCTCTTCTAATTTGGATATATAGTCTTGAGTGGATTTGTTTATTCTATCGCTTATAAGTTTTTGATTAAGTAATTTAGCTTCCATATTTAATATAATATTTTTATCCTGAGATATTTGTTCTTCTAACTGATACTTCAATTCATTTAATTTTTTTTCCATATTTATTCTATCACGTATAGCCTCTTCTTTTTCATTAATAATTTTTTGTTTCTCTTTTTCTACAATTTCTTTAGCCTCACTTAAGAGTAATTGTGATGAAGTTTGAACTTTCAATAACGTTTGCTCTAAAGAACAACTTTTAGAATTTTTTTCATCCAAAATTTTACGTATCCGATCTAGTGATGCTAGAATATCTTCAATGTCACATTTATCCGGACATAAAAGACTATCACCTACGCTTTCAATTTCAAGTTGTTTAATATCGGTAACTATAATTTCTCTTTCATTTTGGAAACGTCTTATTTGGTACTCATATTTACTTTTGTCTCTAATTGAATTCTGTGATATAATTTCCGTTAGCGAAAGTTGTTCTTCTAGCTTATATTTTTCATTTTGTAATATAGTTAATTCCATTTTGATGTCATGAGTTGCTCTTGAATCTTTAAAATAAAAATAACATATTTTAAAATAATTTGCATATGGATTTGGTTTGGCATTACTAAGTTAAATTTTAATCAATGTAACATAAAAAATACACATAAAACATATCTTACGGACATATTTTAAACATATGAAAAAAGCTTGAAAAACACTTCGAAATATCAGCGGGCTAACTCATAGATTATAACACAAGAAAAAAATACTTTATATCAGTTTTCTAGTATCCATAACATAAGCTATGCTTAACTTGGGACTAGATGGCGCTGTGTGTATTAGCTGATTTTTTTTAGTTATAATAATTAGTAATCATTAAAACGTTTTATTATCGTAAAACAATCACTTACGATGGGCTTCTATTGTTTTAAGCGATTGGTCCATTTTCTCGTAATTTGCGATACTTATTTGTTCTCCTGTATCGACGGCTTTGGCTACATCTTTGTGTAATTGCTTAACCTCCTCTTCTAATTGATTAATATGATTTTCCAAAATTGAGATTCTGTCGTTGCGTGCTATAATATCTTCCTTAAGTGTAGATATGATATAGTCCTAAAATATGACGGTGATAATTTTAAAACAAGGGCCATGTTCTTTGTTAAATTAGTTTATATTATAATATTTTTGTACGTACCGCTTCGTCTAATTTATCTAATAGATCTCTGATCTTATTATGATTTACTAGTTTTTCCCTTTTCATTTGTTCGATTTCTTTGTAAATTGTATCATGGAAATCGTGAGAAGTCGTAGATTTATTGATGAGCTGAAATATAAATAAGTAAAAGACAAAAAAATTAAGAAACGCATTAACAAAATAATACAATATACCTGATCTCTTGCATGTAATAAAGCCTTTTCGAGGTCATCACTATGAGCTAATAAATTTTTACTTTCTTTATGTAAATCCTCGTTTTCTTGTTCAATTTCTTTTAAATTTGCTAACCATGTATCTTTTTCATTTAATTCTATATTTAATTTGTCTTTCTCTTCTCTCATATTATTAATACTGATATTTAGTTTCACTATTTCATTTTCTAAGTTTTCATTATCTTTAAGTTTGTCAATCAACAACGCTCTTTCTTTTTGAAGAGTTTTTATTGATATTGTAGCTTGTACGTTTTCACTTTGTAATACTGCTATGTTATTAGTAGCTGCTTTTTGATTATCTTCTAAAAAATCTATTCTACTTTTCAGATTATTATGTAAACAATTATGTTCTTGTATTTTGATATCTAATTCATTTTTGAGTGCAGATTTTTCAACTAAAAGATTATTATACGAACTTTGTATGTAAGCAAATTCTTGTTGTAGCTTTATTAACTCGTCTTTCAAGTTTTGATTTTCTGTATTTGATAATTGCATGGACTGCATTACTTTATCAAGTTCATTTGTCTTATCACGTAATTCTATTTTCAGAATTTCACTGTTTTTTTTGGTTAGCTCTAATGATGTTTTGTATTTGTTATTTTCATCGCTTAAATTGTAAATATTATTTACAGCATCATTTTTATCATATCTCAGTCTTTCAATTTCTTGAACTAATGCAGAATAATTACTTTTTTGACATCTCAAGTCATTTTGTAAATTATTATTTTGCTCCATTGTAGTTAGTAGTGTATCTTGTAATGCATTGTAATCTTTAGCTTGGACTTCAAGTGCCAATGTCATATTATGTTGTCTGTTTACAAGCTCATTGTAATCGTTTACTTTGTCTATTAATTCTTTACTCTCTTGTTTCGCTAACAGAAATGACTCAACAGCTTGTTTTTTTTCAGTCTCTATTAACTTTATGTGATTATCATAAATATCTTGAATTTCATTAATTTTATTAAATAGTTCTATATTTTCATCATTTTTCTGTTTATTTTCTTCCATGAGTTTTTCTATTTGTTGAGATTTTTTTTCTATTATATCCACAAAATTGTTAGTTTCTGCGTCTCTTAATTCAACATTTTTCATTAATTTTTGATTTTCCTCTTTTAATCTTAATATTTCATCTTCATAATTATTTTTCATATAATCATTATGTTGAATTGTTTTTTCGTACGTAGCTTAAATAAGCAAAGATTTTAATTAAAGTTTAATGTAAACATTAAAATCATATAAACTATTTCATTACTTACTTTTCCAGTCCTCTATGTCCATTCTTAATTCATTGATGATTTTCAATTTATCTTCAAATTCAAACTGCAAACTTTGTTTTTCTTCTTCATTACAGAATAATGCATCTTTAAGATTTTTGATATGTTCCTTTAATAATTCTATTTCATCCATCAATAATAAAGAATGTGATGTGACATCACGTTCGTTAGTCTAAAATGTAAAATAATAATAATAGAGTTATATCATTTATTGTGGTAATTATTGTTATTTTTTACCTTGTCGTTATCTTGTTCGAGAAGTTTATCCACTTGAACTTGCAAACTCTTGATTTGTTGTTCTTGACACATCACTTTACATTCAGTTTCTTTTAATTTGCATTGTAAACTGTTCTTCTCTTTTTCAAAATCAATTAAAGAATCATTCAGTTTTTTCTCAATAGCAATATTTTGAGCTCGTAGTCCTTCTATTGTATCAGTTTTCATGTGGTTAATTTCCCACTCAGCTCTAAGTCGTGTTTCTAAATTTGAAGTTTCATCAGTTAAAGTTAAATATTGTTCTTTTAAAGAGTCAAGATCCGCTGATCGTTTTCTATAATGTTCTTTTTCATTCCATAAATAACTATATTCTTTTAGTTGAATTTTCAAATTTTCATACTCTAATTCGAGATCCTCATATTTTTGGCAACGTAGTACTAAGAAATTCTTTTCATGTTTTAAATTCTCATAACAAGTCATCAAATCATCATAATTCTCTTGTAAAGTTTTCAATCTTTTCAAATTTTCGGAATTTATATTATACTCGCCTACAACAAGTTTGTCATCAGTTTGTTCGATGTTATTCTTCTCTGGAGTATTGTCTTTACTTAATATTTCCTTCATTTCTTGATTTTCCATAATGTCAGCTACGAGGTGAGCTCTTTTATTATCTAGACTTGGTTGTTGTGATTCAGCTGACGTTAATGCAAATGTAATTTCAGCACGAAAACAGGAACAATCTTGCGATTCAAAGTTCGTTTCTTGGGAACAGGGCGCTATTAAAGCTAGGCAAAATTTTTCAAGTACTTTCAATTTAAAAAGTATTTTCCCTTTTATGTCTATACAACAAGTATCTTTTCCGCCTATCTGTAATACATTTTATAATAAAGTATGAAATTTTAAATAAATATTGACAAATTGTTGTAAAAATAACTACGGAATTATTATGTTGGTATACAGTTAACAATATTTATGTCATTATTTCATCCCCAGAATATGGTAAGAGAGACTAAGCGGCCAAAACACATAATAATAGTAGTCTATTATTGTCCTTACGGCGAGGCTTCCGGTGTAGGAAAGGGCTCAACTGTTTGTGATATAAACGGACAGGTAACAATATGTATACGTATTCAGTTTAAACAAAATAGTGATAGATCTTTTAAGATATTAATTAAAAACTAAGATCACATACTCTAGATCCATAATTAATCATCTAATAATAATAATAATTTTCATTTAATTGTAAAGGGAGACAAACCATTAGATTTAGGTATAGTCTGTATTTGTCATTTTGACAAAGTATGGCAAATATTTTTTCTAAAGCTGTATAAATGTGGGCGTAGATGCAGTAAGGTTCACAAACGTCGTTCTCCATTACCTAAAATTTGAACAGAAAGCATAAAAAGAAAACAATATATATATTAATAACCAGATGTTAAGTAAATAATTATATATTATTCTTTGTATTAATGAACAAATTCGAAATACTATCACTTTCTTTTACCTCTAAAGTCACGGATTGTTAAGTAATGAATAGAAGAGATCATGAGAGAGACGCACATGGATGATATAAAAGATGCGTTTTATAGATTTTGTAAAATTGTTATAAAACTCCATTACTGTAAGCGAAATCTTCATCCCATTCCCAATACCTTTTTTTCCTTATTTACATGTATACTAACCATTTCAAAGTTAATAAAATATTATAGTATAGTATTTTACAAAATGTGCAGTTAGCTACATGTCAGACTGTTTTACTTACAGCAATAGTATTTTGCATAGCGTTCAATTTGGCATCCTTACTAATGATAGTATCCTGCATTTCTTGTATTCGTGGATCGGTGACGGCTAAAAATAATTATTTCTAATATAGTTTAATATATATGACGGGGAATAGTAGGGTGACGGATATGACATTATTTATTATAATAATTACATAAAAGATATACTTTATTCATGACCATGTTATTACGTTAAAATTGTAGTTATTGTAAAAGACAAAAAATCGGTTTAGTTTTATCTAAGACTAGTTATATAATGCAGACCTGCCCTTATAGAATACGGTCTATTGAATGGAATAACAATATATACAGTTAATGCTCCTCGTTATTACTGTCGCGTCAGGGTTACCCATTTTCGCAATATCATACTTTGTTTTTACAACTTGAATTCTTACAAATCACATTCTGCGAGCAATGTAAAAAATTGAGCAAAAAAACGAGCAAATTGCTATATGTAAACGCGTTATACAAATTTGTATGAATGCCTATGATAAAACGTACAGAAGATTATAAAATATTGTACCCATAGCATGAGACTCGAATTGGGTATCCCTACCATGCATAAACCTAAAAAGCTGAGTACTAGTATAGTGATGAAAGTTAAACTCACATGTGCTCACGTCGCATCTCATCTCATCTAGTTCCATTTGATTGCCTTTATTTTCCATTGTTGCAGTTGGTTCTTTCTCAAATGGCCACTTAAAATTATCTCAAATTATTAACATACTTAATATTCATATCGGCCTGTCAAAACCTCATGCACCAAAATATTAAAAAAAATTTTTTTTAAGATTCATATTTCTCATTTTGCAGTAATGATTAGAAACGAGCATAATTAATACTAAAAATAAACATAGCATTACCTCCTACCACATTGGATTCAAAGTAGACTTAGTGAAATAAGGAGTAACTATGCTAAATTTTACATTCACCACGGCGACGATAGTATCTACCAACTGTCGACTTCCCCTGACTATGCCGTTTGGGATTATTGTCTTGAAGGTATGTTATTTACGGATTCAGAGTGTATAGCTACTTTATAATAATGTGAAAGACTTACTTCATCACCACGAGATTTATCGCTCTGAAAAAAAATTGCACTATTATTCTTTTTGTCTGTATTCTAATAACGACATCATGTAGGTACATAAAGCGCATTGAAAACTAATGATAATGGTAATGGAGACTAATGATTATCGGTAGCAGGTATATGTAGTAACATACATATACCTGCTATTATTACATCTGCATATACATATACAGTATTATATGTATTAAGATGCAGATAGCAGATGTAATAAGATATACAAAAAGCGAAAGTATGATAACTAGAGTTATAATCAAATCAAATCGTATCAAAAATGATTTATTCATGGAGGACATTTTAGTCGCTTATGGACGTCAATTTTTTTGTATTAATACGAGTATTTATAAATTTCCCTACCGTCGTTCGTTCAGCATACAGACTCAATTGAGAAGAACTAGCAAATAACTAAACTGTATATTCATTTTTTTAAAAGCCAGTTAGTTTACATTGTGGACTTATGTAGATGTCTATATCTAACATTAATTGAAAATCTCGTGCATGAACTCTTTTAAGTAATCATTTATATTTTAATATTCTTTGCTCAATAAATATGATTAAACACATGTTTTGAATTTATATAATGGTAATTCCAGTATATTCTTTGGTATCTTATTATAAATTTTGAATAATTATTTATTAATTTAATTATTCAATAATAATATCAACAAATATATAATTCATTACCTCATCTCCCCTAAACCTCGATAACTGAAACAAACAAATTGAGTCATCAATTATAATTTGCGATTAGAACAGTTAAATCAGCTCGTTTCCTATTTATGTATTAAACGTATAATAAATTAACTATTAGAGAACATATTTATTTGTACAGATATATTAATTCAGATATATTAATATACTACAATAAAAAATAAATATATTTGTTATTACCTCATCACCTCTTGATTTGCCAGTCTGAAAAGAAAGATAATGAAGTTAGATAGATGTTGGAATGGTGCTCTCACCTCCGGTAATGGTAGAAGCTGGCTGGTACAAGAGGAGGTAGATAGGATGTATACATGTACTGACTAAAGATGATTAGTAGAGTAGTATAAAATATCTAAGCGAAGAGACAGCGAAAGCGATTTCATTTTATATTAGGTAAAGATATACACTACGTATATGTAAATAATACGAATAAAGATAGAATTAAACATTAAAGAAGACAAACATACCTCAAAAGCATCCGAGTCTACGCCCTGGAATGCAAAGCAAATGTTTAATGGATATCGTATCGTATCTAATATTATAAACGCGAAAGTTTGTGAATATGGATGTTTATAATTTGTTACTCTTTCACGGAAAAACTACTGGACAGACTTTGATGAAACATAGCAACATACAGTAATATAGCTTATACATCATGATAATAGCAAATATTTAAAAAGTTGTGTAAATTGGATGAAATGAAATGATAAATGTCAAGTAATGCAGTGTGTGTGATGCAGACGAAGTTGCACGAGTCAGCTAGTTTAAAACTTTAATAATACGGTTAGCTTTAATAATAACGTGTAATCATACGAATTAATAGTAACTAACCTCGGTGAACCCGGATAAATCCAAATCCAAGCACTGTAAATAATGACAATATGAATTAATTTCCAATGACATTACATCGTACAGTGTGTATTTTTTTATTTATTTAAAAATTTAGAGACTTTTGTACACTCTAAAAGTACATGCCAGTGCCATTGTACCCTAACTAATTATTCCAGTACCTCACCAGTGAGCTAATTGTCTTAGCAGCACTATCTGAATAGTGTCAGCGATGAAAAAGAGGCGAGTGTACCAAAATCAAAGAGCTAGAGGTACATACATAGTACGCAGTTCTTAGTAGATTTACATAATAATAAAATAGTGCCCTGTTCACGTGATCTAGACATACATGGAATACAATAACAACGATATATTCTAATACAATCGTTCTTAAAATATTAGAATACATAAATACTTTCTGCCTATATATGTTCTATTTTTTACTGTACTGTACTATTACGAGACATTCTTATGTTGAGCGCAGGGCTTTACATTTTCACCGAACGATGATGAACGGGAGGCCAAAGTTAATTTAAATACTCTGGACTTGTGAAACTGATATACTTTAGTCTGAGAGCACTCATTGATGTTTAAATTTTGGATTTGGCAGTAGTTCCAGTAATTCAATCGCCGTAGGAATAGGACGGGGAATTGACCAGAGCTATATGAACTAATAAATATATAATATAATAGAATATTAATTGATCAAGTTCTGATATTTTGAAGAAGCGTAGAAGAAAGGTGATCTGAATAAACTTCATCGTCTGATTTTATTAATAATATATAATAATTAAAGATACCATAAAATTAAAGATGCCTGTTTTTAATATTTACCAACTCATCAAGTTCTTTGTTAGCTGCTTTTATCGCTGCATGCTGAAAATAGAATACTTAGATTAAGACATTCTATCCTACAATTAAAGAAAGGAATACTATGTATTTCATATAATTTAAATATCTATTACAAGCCCTGGCTGTGATTCCCCTCTGGCCAATATTGATGAATAAGCAATTGTACATACATACCTAATTTTCTTACTAACATGTATTTAAATTGATCAGAAAAATTCAGTAACCTCACTTACTAATTACGACAAGAAAGTAAAGCAGAATTTTTCAGTAACCAGAAATATGACGGGACTGGAAATTATTTATTTGAAATTAATATTATTTAAGGTTAAAAATGAACGTACCGCACCAGCTATTTCGCATTTCTGCTCACATGTAAGGTCGAGCTGATCGTATGCTGCTAACATTTGTCCAAATTCTTCTATCCTACGTTTGAGCCGACCAATTTCAGCATTTTTAGCGACCATTAATGTGTCCACAATGACATTCGTTGGCACATACTTAGTTCTGCACGTGTCATTATTCCTTTTTATAATCTCTATCAAGTGTTCGCTCTTATCAGAACAGAAGTGTGACCATGCCCTCGCATCCGTACATGATGCATAGGCTTTCAACTTCCCTTCGTTACGAGCTGGTAAGTCGAAAAGGTCATATTCGTTGAAAACTCGCTCCCTCTTCGTTATAAAAGACATATTTACGAGAACTATCTTGTCCACTTATATAATGTAATTTTTTTCTAAATGTATACATGTATTTACTTTTCGTCGCCATCCATTTTACGCATAACGTTAAGATTTGAAATATTTGATTGCTTTTAAATTACTACGAAATATAAACAATGAAAATATCAAATATATTGTAATGTCAACAGAAATCGAGACGGAATGGCGGTTTGTTGTCGAATGTCATGTTTTAAATTTAGTTTTTTCTACGTTTGTTTCAAAATCTGACCATCAAGTATTTTTGTTAAGCAATAAATCGCACTATAAATGTATTTAGAAATCTTTATTATTTGTTGATGAAACTGGGCAACTTTTTTTTATTTTTCGAATACACTTGTATCCAAACTATCCAAATATCCATGACAAATTATGTATCTACCAGAATATGGATGTACATAAATGTCGTTTAGAGGATATTTACAATACCTACCAGTTAATAGGTATTGTAAATATTCGTTGTTAGGTCAGTCTACTTTAGGTACCAGGCATTACTATAAATATAAAGACTTAATTATTTAAATCCAGGATTATCTATAATTAGTTAGTTCAGTATTAGGGTCGTGGCTCTCCCCAATACCTTTCCTTACCAGTGTATGTAACACTTTTAAAAAATATATTTTAAATATATCAAGAATAAAAACCTAGAAACCTACATATAAATTTTATATACAATCTTTTTATTAACAATCTACAACAGTCGTTTTGACGTAACTCATTTGGGAGATTTCACTACAAATATCACTTTCAATTTGGATCTCAAAATTTTGCGTCGCCTGTTCTACCCAAATGGACTAAATATTAATGAATATACTTAGAGGTATATTCGTTCAATGAATTATATAATTTTAGCAGGGAACAGACATCGATTGGTAGCACGAAACGAGGGGAAAATAAAATCATATGAGTCTTGTAGCGATATACGAGCATGGAGTCATGACGGCGCCTTGCGGGACCGGTATCTCAGGGAATGGATGAAGTGTGATATGCCTATCTGTGTCATACCTGTTTACACTTTGACCAGTTTTTTGAAAAACATGACGTACCGAAGCAGAAGAAGGGTAAGGAATTGGTTTGAAACGGAATTATATATAGAAATGTCCAATGAATTACAAACGTATAATTATGTTTTGCATGTCTGATCGAGCTTAATGTATATAATAAATATACATATCAAGTTTAATAAATGTATTTTTTTTTATTGTGGAGATGTCATAATTGCTGTTTCCACCGTTAATCGGCTAGGCTAATATACTTATTAAATCGAGATTGTACGTTACAATACCGACTCGTTTAACCTTTAATATTTATTTTGGTTAGTATATGAGAGAAAGCCCAATGAGTTCCAACTCTGAACATAAGTTGACGAATACATACTTTAAGTTGACTAATTAAAATCATCAATTCATTTCTCAGTTCACTTCATAAAACTAACGAGCATCCTACAATTAGTACAGACCTACTAAAGTTTTAAATCTGTAGGTGAAATAACTTTATTTTTTACGCATCATTTAATAATTAATATTATTTAGGCTATGCCTAAATGCCATCCTGACTGCAAGTCGAAAGTGATACTCGAAAGCATATGTTCTTCCTGCCATATGATGAAGGAATGTTTGAAGAACAACAGACAATTCGAAAAATATTTTGAGGAGGTAAGTTTATTCGTTAATAAATAAATCAGTATTTTGGTAACCACCAAGCGACCTAGCTCCTTTTTAATGATCAAAATATTATTTAATCTCAAATATATATTCTTTATTGCACTTTTAAATACAGTTCTAAACTTAAATATATACAAAGTGAGCAAAGGTGGACTTAATTAAAAAAATATTCAACATTAAACGTATGTAATCTATATAAATAGCTTCTTTAGTACCTATAAATATATATATATATATATATATATATATATATATATATATATATATATATATATATATATATATATATATGTTAAATATGTATAAAGATATGCTGTTAACTAAAATACAATAGTTAAGTATTATGTACACTATTTCATGTTTTTTTTATTAGGAAGAATTCGAAACTTGTCACTGGCCTTGCAAAAGATGCTTAGAAGTTCTAAAAACTATTAAAATGTTTTGGAAGGTCATAGTTGATAGAATATTTAATATAAATAGCAATAGTGAGAATTTTTGTGGTAGTTCCATGAATCGAACAGACAGTGTTAAATCTATTGCTAAAACTTGGGAAAAACAAATGGTAGAAGAGGCTTTATTTGTTAAAAATATCAGTTCTTTATCAAAGAAAAGATCAAGTTTAAATAGTAACGATTGTTGTCGTAATCGAAAGCATATAGATCCAAAAACAGATTTGTATTTTCGGAATCCAATCCCTTGCAAAATAGAAAAAGAGATCATATTTAAACATGACAATAAGAACTCTCGAAAATCTCAAACAATGGAAAGCGATCACATATTAAATTCTAGTGCAAGTAACAGCAATGAAAAACCAATTAGAGGAAAATTAAGTAGATGCACATCAGTTAGAGTTAAAATGGTTAATAAGAGTTGTGATACTTGTAATATCGAGAAAGAATACTGTGAACTACAGGCATACAAATGCAATTTGGAATATTTACAGCAGAGATACAATCGTCAATTAAATGAAATGGATCTATTGAAAAAAGAAAACAATTCCTTAAAATTGGAACTTCACAACATTTATAATAGGTCTTCATGGAACAATACAATTTACAACTCTGTTAATATACCATCGAGCAAAAACGTTATCCCAAAACCTTTTGACAATTGCGTTGAAATAAACAAAAACGAAGAAAGCGTTAAAAATTTTGATTCCGAAATGATTATAACAATGAAGACTTGTAAAAATGAGGTTAGTGTGATTTATGTAAGTAGGAATAAAAAATCAATGTATTAAACATAATATACATGTTTATTAATTTCAGAGTTATAGACATGTTTCCTTGTTAAAAGTCCTTCACAAAACAAATGATCCAGTTATGACTAATAGCGATATAAATAGACGAAATGATGTAAAGGAAAACCCAATAGATATACTAACTAAAGGTAGTATAAATAGTAAACAATTGATTTTAAATGTATGTCATTTTACATATTATTTTTGGCTTTCAGTTCAGAATACATTCGTCGAGTTAGTAAGAAGAGAAATAATAGTTAACAAAACCAGTAGTAATACGGACTCACAGATTCATGCAAGTTTTTATAGAGTAACAGAAAGTAAATCTGCTCCATCTTGCTCTACAATATTATCCGATTCATTTAGTGCACAATCTTATTTTGTAAGTCTAGAAATAAGCAATCTTGTGTTTGTTTTTTAATATTCTATTCTATCAGAATTTTAATTCTTTTATTTTCTATATAGGTATCTGCAAAAGACCAAAGTGACAAAGCTGACGCATAAAAATGATACTACCAAATAATAAATATATATTTATTATAGTACGTAATCTTATTTTTGGATGTTCTAGTTAAATTGTGCCATTATCTTTAATAAACGGTCGTAGATAAGTTGCTTTGCATCTATTGCGAAAACAAAATCCAAATGATTGAACTTTGGCAACTGTACTCTATATTTGCCGACCACAGTTTTTACCTCTTTTAGTAATTGATCTACGTCTCGTGGCGTAGATAACCAATCGTTATCGGCATAGTGTAGAAAAATAGGTGTAGAAATGGCACTCAAGTTATAAGCTGGTGGTTTGAATGTTCCATAAATCCTTTTATTTGTCAACCATCCATGGTTAAACTGAACAAATTTCTTGGAGTTGTATAACTGTCCGAAATGTATTATTTGTCGTGTTGATGCACCAGCTGGCGTATGTCCCAACACAACTGGTAACATAGTCTAAAACATAACACAGTTATTTGTAAGATTAAATTCAATTCTCTATATAATAACTACAGTTTTTCATTTATTTTTCCTATTTGATAATATGTTCGAATTTTCTCTTACAGAAAACTACATATAATAATTATTTATTTATTTCAGTTCATCTTACTATACTTACAGCGTTCAATTGTTCCTCATTGAAACCACATAACAGAAATAACAAATTAGTACAAAGAACTTGGGTTATGGCTTCTTCAACACAGTACGACTGGCCAGCCAGCTCGTTCACTTTACCATTAGGCAGAAATTCATTAGTTCCAAAAATTTTGAAAATCCTCTGAAATTTTCAATCTATTTTAATAAAAGCGGTCTGTCTTGGTTAGAAATAGCGATAATAATACCTATGATAACAGCTGAATCTATCTATATGACCAGCAGACACTTTTAATATCGAATTTATCTGAGATATGGTACTGAGACAGCTCAGAATATTGCTGGCTACGGAATGTGGTATTGTATTGCATATAATTCAAATGTTGAAAAAAATTTTAGTTCGGTAGTCGATATGGGCAGAATGGTCCCTTTTAAGCCTTATTAACTAACCAGGATTACAGGATTGAATTGCTCTATGTCTTTCTCTATACTAAATACTACATATTAGCTAGATTTTATGTAGGTATATTAGACATAACGGTGGAACCATTGGTAGGTTATGTATTATATTTCTAGAAGAGACTAGAAGAGAAATTATAACTGCCTACTTATGGTAAGAGGGAACTATATGCCTGTACACATAAGTCTGTGAAAATAAACATAAACTTGTAGTTAATTTATCTAGCGTTTATCAAACAATTAACTTGACATTATTTCAAAATGCATAAACAATATTGATATGGCGTGTGATAGTGTTATCTATTGATGTTAAACATGCCCACAAAACATAAAAGAGACATATTTTTATGATATATATGCCTATACGAGTATACCTATATACCAATATAATTCTTAAAACTCAAAACAGTTTCAAAACCTACTACAAAACACCCTAAAGAACAAAAAATGACAATTTAATGGAAATCACAGCTTAAACTAATTTAAGCTGTGATTCCTAAGAAGTGGTAGTATATAAGAGTATATATTGTATTTTTATTTCTTCTCTTCATGAAGAAAACATAGTAATTTTAAACTTACCTCTAAAGAATTAACAAATGGAGCCATAGCTTTTATAAGAGGGCTTCTTATATTTCCGACATAAGCGATTGGCGCTAAAGCTTGCATTGCCACGATTTTATCATTATACTCTGGCCTCATAGATGTCATTACCCAAAACGCTGTTGTTCCTTGTGAAAATCCTACATAGTGAATCTTTGAGACACCAGTCTCTTTGATAACGTAGTCGATCATTGCAGGAAGATCGTAATATCCAATCTCATGCCAACTAAACTGCCAGAAGTGCTTGGATGTTGGTTTTAGGGAGACGTGGTGGCGAGAGTAAGTGTTACCACGAGCATTGCCCATCCATACGTCATAACCGGCTTCTGCAAGTATGTACGCTGCGAATGTAATAAGTATCCATTAGGTACCTGTTTGTTCCTGCAATATATATATATATATATATATATATATATATATATATATATAATGTAGATTTTTAATAGCGCAATTTATCTCTGTTCATCCTCTTACATTTCACCTAAAGTTAGATAGATATTTGTAGTGTATGTTTATCATGTTCATCAGACGTTGAATATTAAAAGTAACTCTTTATTTATTTCTTTAAAATTTAGAGAGTCTTGTACGAACTAAAATTCATGACAGTTCGCATATTGTCCAAATCTTAGTGCTGTAAAACTACTCCTAAGTGTCGTTTCTAGATTAGACACTTTCTTTAAGTAATAGTGGGATGGAGTGCGCGTGAAACTATGGGTTCATAGTTTTACTCGGTTGACTGGGTGTAATTATCCTAAATTTAGACCGTTCGTAGATGCAATCTATTGCCGGTAATCTGTTTCAAAACTACAAAACACCTAAAACAAATGACAAATAATTTAACAATGCCATCCAACATTTATTTTAAATAATAAGTATAATAGTGTTTATAATATATTAATTAACAATAGCCACGGCTATTGTTTAATTTTAATGAAAGAAATAGGTGCAAATTTATTTTGGATCATTATTATTACGAATATAATGTATTTAAAAATAATTTTGCCGGCTATATTGACAAGATTTAGGAGATTCAGGTGTCTCACAACAACATTTCTCTGTCAATGAGGTGACCGCTCCATGTTGTAATTTCAACTCTATTAATTTATCCAGTGATTTACTATAGTTATTAATTTCAATGCCATGAGCACACTCATATTTATTTGTTAAATTATATAATAAAGATTCTAACTCTTGAATTTTACTCTTTAATTTATTTTGTTCCAAATATATATATATATAAATTTGTTTTACAATTTTGAAGTTCTTGTAACAGGTCTAATTTTTGTCTTTAATATTTATATGATTTAAAACATTTAGTATGAGTACTCACTAACTTTTCTGACTTTTTAATAAATTTGTTTATTTTATATATTTTTTTTATTTATTGTTTATAATATATTAATTACACTATTAAATAGTACAACTATTTGAATTTAAAAATAATATTTTTTAATTAAAGAAGGGACTTGAACTCATTTACGAAATTCTCGCGGGAACGGAAATAATGGATCCTTGGCTAGAATAGCTAGTATCTATGTTATATAAAAAAATATACCTAGCCCTTTTCCTGGTAGCATCAAGACCCACTCCGCGGAGGACGACAGTAGCCCGTGTTGGAGGAACACCACAGGACGTGGTCCTTGACTGATGTTATCTCTTCCATTCGGCACTCTGTGCATTTCCAATATATACTTGTCTTCTGTATAGACACGATGAATCTCACATGGGTAGCCATATTTTCTAATGAGTGAAAACTGTGGAATTAAAATAATTGTGTGTGTAACAAAACTCTGCAACGTGCACGTGACACACCTGGTTTATCAGGCTTGCCACCATCGTAGTAAAAAAAACAATATGCTAATTAATTGCTACACGTTAGAAATAATCATCTATCATCATCATCATCATCGCAGCCCGGAAGACGTCCACTGCTGGACATAGGCCTCCCCCAAAGATCTCCGCGACGATCGGTCCTGCTTCTAATCATCTATACTTTAGGTTTATTTTTTATTTTTTTATAAATCTATTATGATTAGAGAATTGTTAGAGTTATGTCATGAACTAAATGCAAGAATTCTGTATAATACTTGACTCTTTTCATCTATCTTGCATCGGCATTGACAAAAACATGTTGAAATAGGTATATTAATTTTAACTAGTAGTCGCCCAGTGGTGGTAATTAGAGGTCGAATTCATAATAAAAATAGAGGAAGATATTTGAACCAGCAATAACAATTAAACGAAATAGTATATAGGTATACATATGTGCTTCAAATACATGGCAGTAATATATTTTTATACATATATATATATCTATATGCAGAACTAGCTGACCCGGCAAATGTTGTTTTGCCATATAAATTAAAAAAGCTATTAAAAATGTTGGTGGTAGAAGGGTGAAAATTTAAGGCTGTATGTATTTTTAATGCTTCATAATAAATAAATAAATATTTTGTCGAATAAAAGAAACAAAAATTTGGGGTGAGCCACCCTTAACACTTAGGGGTATAAAAATTAGTTACAGAGCTATTCTCAGACCTATTGAATACACATATAAAACAGAGGACAGAGGAGTATAAACACTACACCTGTGACACGAAAATTTTATATATTAGACTAGCTACTCGCCCCGGCTTCGCACGGGTGCACATGTATTTATATATATAAACCTTCCTCTAGAATCAACTATCTATTAAAAAAACCGCTTCAAAATCCGTTGTGTAGTTTTAAAGATTTAAGTATACATGCGTACTATGTAATAATGATGATGATGATGTAAAAAATATTATTAGCATTTTACTCTACTTCTCTACATATATATATCTCCGCTCAATTTTCGTAAAAGCGGTACAAAGTTTTTAGTTTACGTATTAATATAAAGATTATAGTGTACCAATAATAAATATTCATAATATTAAGTGTAAACTACGACTTGTTTGTTTTTAATACAGAAAACAAAAATGGTCACATGAATACGCTTTGCAAGTTATATTGAATTATTTTACAACGAAAGTGAATTATAAGTTATATATATATTTTAATTATGACGGACTAATTTGAATATGATTCTATGTTTTGTTATTATGAGTAATGTATACTTGGTTATTAATACAAAAATACATACTGTATCCAGAGCAGCATCTTCTAGAATACCCGCATCGGTGGCTCTGTCTGTAATATTATTTTCATCTGCTCTTCCGTGATTTAAAAAAAATAATATTATTATACTGTAAATTTGAAATTTATCTTGCATTCTGAAATATAGGTATAACAAGACCAACAAGGGAGCTACTATAATTATGTTAACTACTATGCAGAAGCCGGCGCTTTATAGACTGGATAGATAATAGACTGAAGTTATAACCAAGTTTCTTCGTATGTAACAATTCTGATAAAGTTTAAGATTGTCCAAGCCTTGAAAATATGTAGGGATAGCTAATCTTATATATACTGGAAATTGTATTGATAAGGTTAATTATGTATTGCTATATTTGTAAAATGCTAATCAACTAATTCATCATATATCTAGAAGTTAATAGTTGATGCGTAAGTAATGGGGACTAAACGTTCGTTGATACCAATGTAACGAGTAGCAATGCACCGTGTACTAATATCTCAGGCCGACAAATTTCCAAAATTTGCCACTTTGGTCTAACTGATCAGACTGATTCTCATTTTATGTTACTTCACTGATACCCCATCAGGATGGGATGGGGTATCAGTGAAGTAACTGGGAACTGATCAGTCTGATCAGCAAGCGTCTATACCGTAATGCAGTCAATTATATTAATTAATTAATTCATAATTTAAGAGCTGTGCTCTTGTCGGTGGAGCTCCCGCCACCTTCCACGATCTTCCATCAGTCCTTTTAGCTGTTGATACGACACGAGTCCAACTTTTTCTTTAACTTGCATGATATAGCTGTGTCTTGGTCTTCCCCTTCCTCTCTTTTTACACACACAAAATATATACTTGAAGTAATATAACAAGTAACTCGTTGAAGAAAACTATTTTGAATATTTTTATTATAATTTCTAACATACATACACAAAAAACACACACAAATTATAACTACAATTGAATATTGAACAATGTATTGTTTCTATTATTACCTACTGTTTCATTTTTTTAGATATCTAGTCGATAAATAACTATGTAATTCTTTTTTAACGGTTGATGATATTGTGCATTCACCTTCGCTAAAGTTATAAGCTGATGGTACGCCGTGGAAGACGATAGTATGTCCATTAATTCAGACCAGTTAGTTCTCCGTGACAAATTCAGGACATATTCAAATTTGGGTAGGTATAGACCGACAACAACGGGCTGGACCTGATAGGATATTAGTAGATACCTAATGGGCCTAATGGCCTATTACTAAAAATCTCCTCCCTCTTGATAACTAACTGCTCCAATCGTAAAATTTATCTAACCTTCATGGAAAATGAAAAATCAGACGGTTTATCAATATTATCCATCGAGGTCAGTTGCAAGTACTTATTTTCTAATTAGATAAGAATAGTTTTCGTAACTATAAAATTTCAGAAGGTTAGATTAAGCTATTTAAGGTCACGAGCAACACTTAGCAGACTCTTGTTTTGTACCTTGTCTCAATAAATATTAATTAACTATAGCTTTTCGCCCCGGCTTCGGACGGGTGTAGGTACATGTATCTATTATATAAACCTTCCTCTTGGATCACTATATCTTCAAAATCCGTTGCCTAGTTTTCAAGATTTAAGCATACATAATCCCCACACAACAGTATCATTACGCCGCCCATAGGTTGGTAATTTTGCAAATATCTCTGAGGGTTCTAAGAAATGCCTACTACTTTTCGATGTACCATAGTGCACTCGTGACAAATTATTAAACAGAAATCGCGCAAAACCTTCACTTCATCACTATTTGTAGAGATACCACAGACACCCGAACACTTATGTATATCCATATCTATGGGGATCTTGAACATCGTGTGAGCAGTTTTATCACCTGCTAAAATAAAGAAAGTGGAGTGGCTGCTATTCCAAACGATGCTACAGCAAGAGCAATTTTGCCTTTTGATTTCGTTCTTGTACCAGTATTATTTTAATCACAAAGGTTTTTCCGTCCAACATATTAAGAAATTCTATTTTTAGCTGCACCCGGTATCTAAAAACAGAATTTCTCCCAGGGCTAGTTCCATTGGATCATAATTTATTTTTTGCAGCGAATTCTCATTTAATGGGGCATAAATAACATTAATAGAGAATCCTATTGTTGGCGCTAGCAAACCATACTAAGAGAGAGAATGACACCCATACATGTAACCAAGTCTTCTTCAGGGTGAGTACGGCGCATTGCTATGCCCGTAGTCACCCTGAAGAAAACTCAGACTAAGTCGAAACAATTGTCAAAACAAGAACATTTTGAACAATGTCGAAACAATTGTCAATAATTGAAGAAAGAACAAGTGAGACAAAAACATTGAAAGTTCATGAAATTAACGAATTTGTATTTTCTCAGTTTCTGGACTAACTGTGTATATTGCTGTGTTACTTAATTTTTCTAAACGAGTAACATTATGAATGAATGAATTAACATTATGATTGAAACAAATGAATTATTTATTATCATAATGATGTCACCACAATTTGTCTAATTTTTAACAATTTAAGTAATTAAAACTAGCCTTTTATTTATTAAGTGTAATTTGAATCTCCTTGTTTTCCAATAAATATTGTATTTTAAAATTTGGATCTGGCAACACTGGACCTGTCAAATCATTACTTTGCGTTACGTTTTGTTTGTATTTCGTTTCTTCTTTTAATTTTATAATTATTCTGAATGTTCGTATAACAAATAAGTATGGCAAATCAGGAGATAAGTCTCAAGTGGAATGGCTATCAGAACAATATATTGACAAATGTGAAAGAACTCTTTAAAGATGAAGGTTTATCTGATGTGACTTTGGTTTCCGAGGGTCTCAATTTTAAGGCCCATAAAGTGATATTATCCGCCAATAGTACTGTATTCAGAACTATATTTCAGGTAAAATATATTTTGGGTAATGTTTTTTCCAATTATCGTCACCATTATACTTAACGCCTACGCACGTTTTTTTACAGCAAAACCCCCACAAGGATCCAATTATAGTCCTTCATGATATTAACGCGGACTCCCTGAGGACATTATTAACTTTTATGTACAATGGAGAAGTGAATGTTACGGAGGAATTTTTGCCTGTTTTACTAAAAACTGCTGAGACATTGAGAATCTGTGGTTTGTCAACAGGCAATGATGCAGCGCGTGAAGCTGAAGTTAGTATTAAAACGTCTATTATTTTTTGTCTATTACTTAATACAGTGTTTATGTATTTATTATTTTATTTATATATTTTTGCTACATCTGTATAGATTGCTAATCATCATAGTAACCACTTTTACTATACTATATATATTGCATATTTATTTATACAAAATGCTTTCTGGACAATGTAGTTCCAAAGTAGCTACTCTGTTGAATAACACTTGTTCAGAAACAAAACAATTAAAAATATGTGGTTATTATATTAGTGCTATAGGCTGCAGGTTATTGTAAGAAAAAAACTGATTAGTTAGCGCAGTGGACTAGCATTGGTTGTTTCTTGAGGTAAGGACCTTGCATTACCTTTTTTTTTTATAACACAGAGGACAAACGAGCATTCGGCTCACTTGATGGTAAGTGATTACCGCCCCCCATGACCACCCGCAACACCAGGGGAATTGCAAGTATGTTGTCAGCCTTTTAAAAAGGAATAAGCTCTTTTCTTGAAGGTTTCAATATCATATCGGTTCGGAAATACCATTGCTGGAAGGTGATTCCACAATGTGGTTGTGTGAGGCAAAAAGTTTCTAGAAAACCGCACTGTGGAAGACCGCCATTCATCCAGATGATCAGGATGGTATTTCAGTTTCTGGTGGGTGGTACGGTGGTGAAACTCAGCAGCTGGTATTAATCCGAACAATTCCTCAGAACACACCTCGTGATATACCTTGCTTTCAGTCCACATTAGCAGCAATCTCCTTTCCCCCAGGGTTTATGTGTTAGGATAGTCACCACAGTCTTTAAACCACAATATTATAAGAACATGTTTCATGTATTTCTAGAAGACTCCCACTACACAAGCAAAGAAACGCAAAAAAAGTGAACATGAAGACAACAATAACAAGACTAAGAAATGTTCTTTAATGCCTAAAACTGATGCTGTGATTAATCTTAGTGCTAGTTCAGATCTTATTCAAAATTCCGTGAGTTATTTATTTTTCTTTTATAAATTATGTTTTAGCCATTGATTGTCGACTGCAAAATATATATTACAGGTTCTGATCTGTCTCTTTGAAGGTGTCTACTTCAAAGAAACGGTTTAGAACTTCTAATCAATGCTGAACCAATGTCAGGCCAAGAGTAATAAATAGAAATTGTTTGAATATATTACCCTTGGCTCTTTATTGTTTTTGTTTATTCAGCATAACTCCCATGTTGGGGTTTTAAGATTAATAACATAATATAAATATTACATTACAAATATTAATTAAACAATATAACTGCTAAGAAGTTAAATTAAAATAATTATATGTGTACTCTTTTACAATAGAACTTACATAAAAGGTAAACAAAACATTTTATCATTGAAACTATCAGTGCTAAATGGAAATTGTACCTTAATCTAAATTTTGAGAGTTTAATGTTAACTATTAAACTCCAACCAATTAAATATTGCGTGGTTGCATATTATATATATGCAACCATGCAATATTTAATTGGTTTCACTTTCTGAGTTTAACTTAAAATAATTTTTCACAATTTTATAAAATAATGAAGCTGTATTTTTCTTAAAACTATATTTGTCTATGTTTGCTTAGTTATGTACCATCAAAATCATTCAGGCATTCAATACAATCATAATAATAGAATAGATAATTGCAAACTATAAATAATAATAACAATAATAAGTAACAAAAGTAAGATAAGATATTTTTTAAATAATAAATATTACTTGTATTATTTAAGGTACAAACACTAACATTGTCATAAATAAAGAAATTAAAATAGTATTCATTCAATAAATATATTGTCAGCCATGTTAACATTTTTGTAATTATGTAAAATGAAGTTAGTAAAAGAAAACATTCAATAGATTAATCAAATTATATTCTAATATTTAATAATTTTATTATTATTATTGCATAAGATTTTGGTGATTTCTAGATAGTCGATGTTCATGTAAGTGACCTCTTTGTTTACTTCTACGTAAGTTCTAGTGGAATGGAGTATAGCCACAATATTAATGTTAACATTACTTATAATTTATTTTTTCAGAATATTATACCAAAAGTAGAACCTATAGATTCCCCACTAACAGATTATTCAGAAGAAAATACAAATGACACGGACATAGCTTTACTTGATGATAGCCTTGAAAAAAAATATTCCATAAACTCAGAAACATTCTCCAGCAAATCTATAAGCATGTCAAGAGACAACCGTAATGTTAAGAAGTGGATTAACGAAGTAAGTAGTACACAGCCCTGTCTGAATATAGCCAATGAAAAGAGTAACGGTACAGATTCAAATGATGATGATAAGGACAGTATTGAGATTGACAAGGAAGTTGAAACAGTGTTGCAAAGTGGCACAATAGTTGAATCCTTAAGTATAACAACGGAAAATCTGAATTCTATATCCAGTGAAGCGCAGATTTGTAAAGGTATGTATAATATAACATCAATATTATACTTGAAACAACAAATAAGTTAGTTGGTGCTATTTGTTTTATTAGATGTTTGGGTGAAATCATATTTGATTTGACTCTTTTTCCAGAATATTAAAATTGAATAATAAACTGCATGAAATGAATAAAAAGAACAAATAGGGAAGTAGACTTTATAGTTACGCTATTATACAATTGATTTTCACATATGTTTATTTTGAGTTAAAACACTTTATAATTAAGGATGCAATATATTGGAATGTAATATGTCTCATGAATTGCCAACCCTGCACAAATTACAATGTATTATTATGATTTTTCAGATAAAAATACATGCTATGCCAATCCATCTTTTCCTTGCCCATTTTGTCCACGTGTCTACAACAGTTGGGGTTATAGAAGGAGACATGTAAAATCCAAGCATGTGACAAACAGGTAACTGTCACAGGGTTTGTTATAATACTAGGCCGAAAATCCAACAACTTCTAAAACTTAATAAAAACTGTTCAAAAGTGGGATCTTTAAAATAATTTTTCTTCTTACCGACTACACAGTCATATAATCAATTCAGTATGAAAATTCTGAATTTATTTGTATTAATTTTTAAATATAGTTATCAAGTTATATATAATAAGCACAAATGTGTGCTGTTTGATTTATGATGAATTTATGAATGGTAAAAATTTTAATAGTTTATGTAGTCATAAGTACTTATTCAATAATTCATTTGATCCCACAATAGAAACGATGCCCCTTAGTGCATTGACACTTTTCTAGTGATCATAAACACAATAAAACTAACTGTATAAAATATTTACTTTAATATAATTAATTTAATAACTATATTTTCTAGTAAATTTATTACTATATACATGTAGAATTTTCGAAATAACTTTACAAATAGATGACTTCTGTTAAAACAAACAAAGAGGTAATCAAATCAATAAGACTTTTTTGATATGGTTAAAACATATTTTCTAATGATTGAAACATACTTTGTTAACTAACATAAAAATAACTAACGTTTTATGGACAAATTTATAGAATATTATATTTTTTAAATTAATTAATTTAGTTATTATATATATACATAGCATAATATATATATTGCTACATATATTATACTGAATGTCTCGTCAAACCGCAGAACATTTTGTTGTCAAGATATAGCTTATATTTATTAATACTTTTATACTTTATACTTACATCTATATCCATAAATGTATACATTTATAAATGTACGTAATACATGCAGATACTTAACATAACTATTACTTATTATTTATTATATAACAATGCAATGCTTTTTTAAAATTTACTAACAGTAGTTGAATGCGTTCCAGGTTATCTTGCAAGTGGTGTGTCTCTGTCTTGGCCTCGACCGGAGCGTGGTATTCGCACGCCACTCGCGTCCACGGTGTACCCCACGAAGAAGCTCGGAACTCTCTAGTCGTGATGGTAGAAGCACATGCAGTTCTAACTCTGAACGAACCCAGTGTAGCACAGTTGTTGGGACAAGTTGGTATGGTTGAAGGCACGAACATAACAGAGAAGAGTAACTAGGTACGCTATCGATACCCAAATGCAGTGCGCATTTATTTTGGATGAGTTTTTATGTTCCCCTTAGGGGTTATTTAATGTCACATTGTAGACTTTGTTGTCAGGAGCGGAAGGTCTTGAATTGATCAAAAAACTCAGTTTAATTTTGTTTTGGGTGTATATTCGAGTAGGTATTGCTATTATTTAAGGTATATTGATGATGATAACAATATATCTAGCTTACCTACAAATTACAGTATCTGCTGGACATATTCAATTAATGCAGATTATAGTAAATCTGACAATTTTGTTCGGAATATAGAGTCACCGACGTATCTGTGAATTTTGGATTGCATTGGATGGATTTTTAATAGTAGTATTTTAATAATATAAAATCTTGTCCTTGGCAGTTTTTATTACCATTTATATTCAACTAAAATGTGACTTATACGGTCCTTCAATGTACTTTATAGGTAATAAATGATGCAATAATAACTTTACTTAGTCAATGTGCATTTCAAAGTTTACATTTTAAATTTAGAAATTATTGAAATTTTTAGGTTTCTATAATGTGTGAACATAAAACATACATAATAGATGCTTTTACACGTGCTCTCTTTCACGCGGGAAACCGCATTCAATGTGTTTGTAAATGTAGGCAAAGAGTACTACAAAGACCGCGCATTCACGTGTTCTTCAATCATGAGTGCGTTTGCGTGTTTTTGTAATAATTAATTATCATTTAAAAATGGAAGACTATAGAGCAAAAACATGATTATAGAGTTATTGATAATTTATAATTTCATTTAAAAGAAAGTGATATGACTTGAAATATACGTGCTTTATGGCGCGAAAGAGTGGTCACAAAAAATAGTAAAATGCAATCATTCACGATTTCGCGAGCTGGCTTTCCCGCGCTTCATCGTGCAGGCTTCTAATCGCGCGTGAATGAATATGCCGTGTAAAAGCAACTATTGTTAAGATTCATAAATTAAAAAAATACTTTTCCATCTTCTGTTTTCATATTCTTATTTATTTTTTTGAGGAGTATTCCCCATAGGTTTATTTTTATTACTCAATCATACCTTAATAACGCAGCATTTAATTATCATTTCAATTTCTGTTCAGTAAATGGCAATTCGTGCTGTTACTAGTCTCTTATCATCATTAATATTTTTTTTGTAATAATGTTTATATTGGTATTGACTACCATATAAAAAATCGTTACATATATATTACATACTATTAAATTAAAACGAAAGTAATAGATCTGTTGAATGATAATTACGTATTTGCATATCAGAATTCTAATTATATTTCTTTATTTTACAAACACCATTCTAGTCTCATGGAAATTAAGCTTTTAATGAAATTTTCAGGGATATATTACACCGAGCCATTGTAGTTAGGTATACAACATAGTAATTCTTGCTATACTTAAAAATTGCTGTTAAGTAGTAATGATTTAAATATAAACCTTAGTAGAAAAAAACTACATTTATACTATATTTATTTACTTATACTTTTTTAATTTGCTTACGAATAATAAAGGCTGTTTGTTTTCTCGCTGCGTTCGTATATTTCGGTAAACATTTATTTAATGTGTCTATATTAATTACCAAACTAATATTTATTAAAAAAAAACAAGGTCTATTGTAAATAAGGGGTAAACTGTTTATGCCAGTTTTATAGTAGTAGTACAATACAATAAAATTTACCCCTTTTCCATAGACACTACTGAATAACAATTTAATGCATTTGCTTCTGTATACAGTCTAATGTAATGAAATTAGCAGTTTATTTTCTTTACTTACTTTATTTTATAAAAAAGTCACTTCATCCAGTTTTATTTTTATACTATTGTATACATACTGCTATATATACATAGTGCACACATATTTTTTTAATTCTTTTATTGTTTCATTGCTGCTGTTGGCTTTAAAATATACTACTAATCAAATATGTTGATATTCCTTTCACACGCTGTTAACACGTTTCCAATAGTATAATGAAGTATTTTTAATCTAGCTTACATAGTGAGATATCTGGTCCACACGATAACTGTTATTTTAAGTTTAATTATTATCCAATACTTATAATTGTTATAGTCATTTATAATCACCGCATGGCCAGTGTCGGCATTGATTTCATTCGCTTAACGGGGTCAGTAATAAACACTTGTTTTATTTTTGCACTTATTATAACTGTAGGTTAAGGTCAAAGAGTTTACCAAATCGAAATTGCGCCTTGGATATAAAATGTGTGCTTGTAAATATCAACTTGTTACACAACCTTTTATGTGTCTGCCGTTTCGTTTACACTTTATTGTTTTCAGAGTACTTAATTGACAGACCATTCATTATATCTCATTAGTAATATAGATACTGGAACACGATAGTTTTTAAGACTTTTATTTGAATTAATTCTATATTCACGCTGCAACTTCAGTTTTGGACTAAAGTTTCCTTGTCCTTTAAGGGCATACTACATTATAAAATAATATAAGGTCCTATCTGAATTTACCTTTTTTAAATACTATACTTTTTCAAGTACTTTGAATATTAAATAATATTGTTATGAATGTTGTATGACTTAACATCAATGAATAGCGATCATGTTTCGTTTATTAATGATTACATGTATCTGAAACATGTATAAGGCTATTTATTAAAAATATATTATATAATCCGCCATATTAAGAGCAATATATCAATAACTTTTTTTTGATATCTTATTACATGTATTCGCTGATCATAGACAAGTGACAGACTAACCCATGTCTAGTGAATCGATCCATAAACATGAAAAGAACAAAACGTCGGGTCGTTGCTACATTGTTCTATCTTATCTACATGGAAACGACTCTCCGGACTCTCTATCGACATATTATTTTACCACTTGTGTATGTTTTGAAACTTTTTTCACGGTTGTTTATACCCATATCCTGATAATATTATTTAAGAACTCCAGATATTTAGAATTTTGTTTTATAATTTATAGTTTCCAAATCGATCAATTTGTGTTGTGTGTAATAAAACCGACTGAAATTAATCTGGAATATAAATCTGAGTACATATGTATGATCTAAAACAATCTCTATGAATTATTGGCCTACAAATAAAATGTGATATTTATAAATAGATCTGTTTGAAGCATACTTATTTAGAAACAGATTTTTGCTAATATGATGGCATTAGTGGACTTTTGTGTAGTTGGATGGTATGATATACTTCTACTTATTTTTTTACTGCTATAAAATTGAAAGATATTTAAAACTATTTTTAAAAGGACACATTTGATTTTGTAATGACATAAAACAAACCCCCGTGATTAATATAGGATTTTTTTATTATCATAAAATTAATAATTATAAATTTTAAGAATTGAATATATACACAATTACAAGGATGTAGTTAGGAACTTAAAATGAAAGAGGTATATTTTTAAAAGAAATGATAAAATCGAAGATTCAAACCTCTTGTTTTGAAGAATGGTTTGAATTTTAAGTCATGCGAACTTTAAATACTTTTCCTTCACTCCAAAATGCAAATAGTCTTTATTAAAATTGTACAATATTTAGAAATTTACAGTGTGATATATGCATACTATATAAGTAAATACTTACGTGAAATGACGACTACAGACAATTAATTTAAACATTCTTAAAAAGGGACAGTTTAAAACTAACAAATAATTTATTTTTATAAAATTAAATTAAATAATAGAACCTTTGTAGGGCCCTAAATTAATGTATGACGATGACCAAATACACTTATTGGTCCTAATTTTTAACTGTTTTCAATAAAAACATTACATATAGCTAAACTATAAGTTATTATATATGCGTAACTGTATAATGTATTAAAAAATGCAATTAATTTTATCATATAGTCGCTCAGGATTACTGCGATAGATTTTCGTTTTAATCTTATATACTGCATGGTAGAGATTTCAATGTATATACAGGTTAGTTATACAGAGTGTACGATTTAAAGGCTAGTGATAATTCATGAAACTAAACAAATCTTCCCAAGTAGTAAAGTGGATATTAGAAAATATTTATTAAAACCAGTGATCAATTTAATATGAAATATTTAAAAAATATTATGCAGATTTCTATTTTGTTTTTCGTTTAGTTTTGTCAGTATTCTATCTGGCTTTTGACTTGTATACTCTTTAGGAATTCCTGTATATGTTATGGACTAAGTAATTATTAGGACATTGCTTATAACGTCAACACAAAAGGTATGTTTTACAAGTCGTCTGTGTGGGCACCTATGTCTTATCTACTTCAGCCGACAAGCGTGTTTTGTAATGTCTGTTTCAGTTGAAGCTGTTTTTATATGGCAGTATAATTACAGGAGGATAACATCTGAATCTTCCGGAATAGCAACGGATGAAGGATGGCAAGGGCTTCGCATGATGACGTATTATACGTGGTTCTGTTTATATAGTCACGTTGCTACTTATCAGGCGGGCTATCTTGCCATTTCAATTACACTAAAAAAAATACAAAATCTTATATCTTTTCACCTCACACAATGAGGTGAGGTGAAAAGATATAAGAACATAGTCTACTTATACTTGTAATTATTTATATTGGTTACATATTCTAAATAATGCCCTGATGAATCACTTGGTCCATGATATATATGATTAAAATTAAGTTATGACGTGTCTTAAATATGATTACGTTGTGATGATCTCAAGTAAGGCGTTTGGTTAATTTACAATATTAATTTAATAAGATTCATTATCCAATTTCCATTTAACATTAAATAGTATTAGATATATTTCTTATTTTTAATGATAAATCATTAGTTTTTTAATTAAAGATATTTTCTAATTTTAGATTTAATTTAATTGTGACGATATTTTATACATTACAGTTGACAAGTCAGTAAGGGATATCCAATTAAAACGTGAGGCAATTTTGATAATTTAAAAACCCCTTCATTCCTTGGTGAGGTGTTATGAGATAAACTTTACTTCCTTGCTTAATTCTCACCTGAAAATTTCTGCGTTCGACTGGCCCGAACTAAACAATTTAGATGCCACAATAATATTTGTTGCATAACCACAATAAATATTATTGGGTGAGATTCAAACATAATTCGGTTGTTTTAGGTATTTAATTGATCTTGTTTTCTGGTAATATTTTACAATATTTTGTGGGAACTAAAATGGTCATGTTTGCTTCATATTATTGATGGATGCCCCTGAATGGAAGCATTGGATATTGATATTAATATTGTTGGTATGCTTTTACTACGTAATCAATAGTAGGACATGAGTTGTCAGTGCCTTCTACTCGTCCATACGTCATGTATATGTATTAATTAAGTGCATACAGTCCATAATGACTATATTATTTTTCTCGTACATGATTATTTTTGTTTACTAAAGAATACTGCTTCTAGCATACTTTCTATTAAGGCATTCAAGTAACGTATTTTAATTTTCTTCATTAAAAATAATGAAAGATAAAAACAAATCATAATAATTCATAGCTTTTAAACTTCGATTATCCAAATTCAAATACTTAAATATGGATAATCGAAGTATAAAAGGTATGAATAATATATATTACTAAGTACGAGGTACTCTTATATTACCTTATAAAGAGATCTTCTATATAATATGTATTTTTATAAAAGGATTTATGATACGGAATTTTTTACACGTATTATATCAGCATTGTGGCCTATAAATGCACAGCAAATAATGTATTACCATGTCACTTTTTATATTAATAGTAATATGAATATATTAATGGTTTGAGTAATAATATGCGAATGGTTTCGGAATCAGTAGATTGAAAGATGTTTTCGAGGTGTGTGTGTGTGTGTGACAGAAGAAATATTGACTGAATTCATAGAGCTTAAGATATGTCTAGGTTAAGAAAATGCTGGTATTTTTATATGCTTTTAGATTATTTTCTAATATTACTAGTTGTAAGTCAATTATTAAGATATTTGGCAATAAATTTAGGATGTGATTGGTACTAAAAAGAAAGTTATATTGAAATCGTGTATTGGCAATGTTCAATAATATATATTATTATTATAAATTCTAAAACATATAAAAGAGATTAATTAAATAATAAGAAAAATCCGGGGATAAAATGGTATATTTTTGTAACTTATTGTACTAGATATTTTGGTATTGTTTGAAAGCATTAAAATTACAACAAAAAGGCAGTTGTGACTTTGTGATTCTAATAAACAATACAATAAAATGTATTACCGTAATTTAATATGTAAGTATTAATATGTAATAGTTGGTATCTAATGCAATGTTCTTATGAATAACATATCGATTGTACAAATAATTGTGAAGAGCTTCAAAGAAACAGGACTCATACATACATTATAATTACCATTCTGCGCAATCGAAGGATATTTTGTCAGTAGCTACAAAACTGAGTATTTGCAAGGACACGTGTATATGTTATAGCGTGAAATATTATTCTATTACAAGTTTGTACGCCGAGAATTTCCCTCGATTGCGCAGGTTTAAAGATTGTAATAAGATGGGTGAGTATATCAACTCATGTCAATCATTGTTTGAATTATACATACTATCATAGCACGTCTTTACAGTGTTATATAAACGAAGGAAAAGAAATCGGCCATGTATCCACAGAACATTAATTTCATTTGAATGAAGTTAAATAACAATTTGTCTATTTATAATTTGGTCCTTTGAGTCAATATTCAATATTTCTCTTAATTTGCTGCTGTTATAAAATGTTTCCACGGACCCGTTATGTTACTTTCGAGTCACACAGAAATTGTAAACTGAAACAAATGTAGGTATACCAAATACATTTGTTTCAGTTTACAATTGACATGCTTGTAGGAAATTTGACATATTATGTAAAAGAATTTTAGAATTATTTAAGTGCCATCAGTGCTCACCCATCTTAGTAAAATTTTGAACGGATATTAATTCCATATTATCTAGAAACTAAAATAATACGACCACTCTCTCTAGTTATTTAAGTAAATGATAAGTTACCAAAGCAATGTTTGATTTAGGTATGTTTAGATGGATTAAAAATTGATATATTTTTATATGAAGTGATGAATCCCTAAGATATTATTTTATTATTAAGAAAAATTGTGTGTAAAATTTACGCCATAATTCGATTTAAGGGAAACTTTGTATCCAATATACTTAACTCTGTTGATACACCTACCAAACCATTATAATAATACTTATTAAAAATATAATAAATTCTTATGACTTAACATAAAATGTATGGCTTTAAAACTTAATTATCTAAAATTAATAATATTTACGCCATAATATTGTTTAAAAAGTATAGATGAGGACTTCCAAACAATGGAGATTAAATATATTTTTTACGAAATTATATTTTTATTTTATAAATCAGTAACGTTTCCTTCAACGGTGATTCCTGGGGCTAGTTGAACTATTTGTAAGTTGTTGTCAACAAAAGTGCAAATTAGATCCGTCTTGGTATCTTTATTTAGTGCTGACATTATTACATCTTTTGAATCTTTCCTCAACAATTCCTTGCTTGCATTACGCGGGGGCGGCGGAGCTGGGCTGGCTTTGCCACTAACCGGTGTTACTTTACCAGAGGAAACCTTACCACGCACAATAACACCTTTGCCTGTTCTATCTTCTAATATACCATTATCTGTTTCACCAGACCTCTTCATAGATGCTCTGTTTCGTGGTGTCTTTTTTAACATCGCTTGGAAATTAAACGGTGGGTCATCGCCGGTCATATCACTCGTCGATTTTGCTAACGATTGCAACTCTTTAATTGGGTTTTGCAAGTTTGGACCATCAATGCCATATAAGCTTCTACTATAATTTGTTTTCCTTAGTTTTGGAACGCTATCTTCTAGTATATTAGTGTCATCGCGCGGTTTCACCCAGGGTTCAGGCGGCTGGTAGTAAGCTTGAGTAGATTGGGCAGATTTCTTTTTGTATACAGTGGGTCGGATATTTTGACCATCTTTACTTAATTGTTTAGTAATAGTTGAAGTTTTAACTGGTTCGGGTGGTAACGTTGGCACAGGTTGCGTGGGGTCTCTGCAGAATGGCACGGTCATAAGCGTCTGTGTACTAGTCGATACCACAGTGGCCTCTGTTTGTGTTGTACTAAATCGACGTTTCAACGGTTCGTCCCACTGTTCGTGGTCTGAATCGTATTGACTGGCAAATGTGTCACTATAATGAGAAATAATTACAACGTCCTGATGAATATTGAATATTTCACATATGAAAATAAAAGTTCTAGACCTCTCTCGACTTTTTATTAAGCAAATTAATTTGATTATTAAAAGAAAATTAAATTGTCCTATACTTAGATTAATAATTAACAGTACCTAAGTAGTCTGTACCTACTGTATAGATAATTGTAAAATCGTAAATTAAGTATATAGGACGTTTTAAAAACAATAGATTTCATGACTAAACTTCTATTTTAGTCTAACACACACTACTTACGTGGATTTAGCGCAGGGATCGCACATATATGACGTATCATAATACTGCAGTTGATCTATACGAAATGGAAGTTTCCAGACTGTCTGTGGTCCAGACCCAAGAAAGTCACATTCTTTTGCTTGCGGATCAACTCTGTCTAAAAGTACTGAGGTGCTAGTTGTTAGGAGTGCTTCTAATACAGCTTGGTTGTAGATATGCACCTGCATGTAAATTAGAACACATTATTATAGGTAGGGTCTCATGCTTGTGAGGTTTATCATAATACAGAGTCTATATAATCTATACATATAACAGGATCATTTAAGTATTGGACAATTTATGTAATATCACCAGAATTAATAAGTCCAAAGTAGTGACTTGGGTTCACTTCTCTTCATGAGTTTGATGTTTCCTTTTACACATTAGTGTGTTGGGTATCCGTAGGGTGGCTGCCCTTAATGAAATTTTTGAAATAGGTAAAGGAGCGGTGACAAATTGCATCCCTTCATCGCATTTATTCTGTGACATCTTTAGTGTGATCGTGTGGCTTTTATTTATTAATATGCTCTTTTTTGTTACCTGTTGCGAAAAGTGTACTAAGTCCTGATAACGAACAGCTCTGTACTGCAGTAGAACTTGAAATATAGACCGGCTTTTCCACTTCATGGCGTACCTTTTGAGGAATGTAGCTGTTTCTTCATCTATCTGGCCCGTGCTTTTGTTGATAAGCGGACCGTACGCCTTTCGTACTATATAACCACGATATGCTAAAAATAAAGGAGATACATAAAAACTATTTATATAAGTAAACTCAATAATCTTTTTTTTATCAACAGCGACGTGGATTAAATTTCGTTTCCAAGGTATTAAAAGTACTAACGGACACTATGATTGTAGTCATAATATCGGTCTCCAGGAGGTGCAATATAAGAATAATTATTCTTAATATGATAAGATTGATCTGATTGATTTGTCTATGAAGAATAGTTTTTATTTTAAGGATGCAAATAAAACTTAAGTTCATAAATACCTTTCTGTATTAACAGTGCAGCTTCATCTTGCGATACGTTCAAAGACTGTTGTTTCTTTATTTCTTTTACTGGAAAGTAATTAGTTGAAATTTATTATTGGTATATTCAATACCAGGTGCATATTAGGGATATACCTACAGGTATTGAATAATAACAACAAGTACAATACACATATTCCAATCTAGTGCCGAGCTAAGCAGAGCTTGTGTAATAGGAACTAGAAAACTGATATAATATTTTAATACATAGGTATTTTTGGAAATACAATCAATACAAATAATCGCACTCAAGAATACAAATCTGCACAGAGCGCGGAATCGAACCCACTTTTATTATAGCTGATTTATTTGTATAGTAAACCTCAAATGTTCTTTAAATATTAATGTACTTACTGTGTATTATTTTGGCTTTACTCTTTATAGCGTTCCTTCTAGCCAAATATGCTCGCATCATGCATTGCACTTTTATGATCTTCTTGACTTGTGTTTCATATAACCTGTTAATGTAAATTGATTACATTTTTGTATTGTTTTATTGATTGCAGAGACATATCTACTATACACATCTACTACTATATGTAATATTAGATACGTAAAGAATAACATTACCTTGATAAGAATTCTTCGTTGTAATATTTAAGGAATACTTTAGTTTTTCCCAATACCCAACCTTCCATCTTCAGCCGAATTAATAATAGTCTACAATTATCCTTAGTTTCTTCTACAGTCTCATCAAAATCAAAAGCTAAGAACCGATACCTGAAAGTGATGAAGATTTTGCTAATGATTTCGAATAGGTACTTATTATTAATAAAGTTGTTATTATATTAAAAAAATATATATAATTATTAAAAGTTAATTAAGACCATCATTCTAGTAAGGAGCAAATCGTTAGTTCAATATTTACTCAATAAAAAAGGAACAGGAAACTCTTTTAGTATTTGATAGTATTTTTTTATAATTTACCGGCGAATAAATTCGGCAAATGGTATTCGACAAGGAAATCCACTTTGACGAGCCTTAGCGGTGTCCAAAACTGCTAAAGCTCTTAATTGTTGTTTAACGACCTCTGTCTGAAATCCTCTTGGGTTGCCATTAAGGTCGGTTCTGATACATCTCACATAGTGTGTTCCTCCACTACCAGGACCTATAGACAATTGTTTGAGGATTTCTAAGCTGCATGCACGATATGTTGCGGCTGCTGTTCTCATTCTGTGCACTTGTGAAAATTGACCTCTTGATACTGTGTTATATTTCTGGAAGATATTAAGATAACGTTAACTAATAATAGCTACAACTACAAAAGTTAGGAATATGTTTATAAACTTACTCTTGCTTTTGTATTCTCTATTTCTTTCTCTGATTTCGACCTCACTACTGTTACTTTTGGTTGGTTCGGCGACATTGTCAGATTACCAGTTTTAGTTAATTTGTTTTTGAATAACTGTTGCACTGTGGTATTTGTCGAAGCTCTCATAGTTTCTATCATTTCGGGGGGCAAGAAATCTTTGTTTTTGTCAGCCATTTCTCGGGCGTCGTAATTTACTTTGCCTGTGTAATGAGCTACACTAAATTCGTGGCTTCCAGATAATCTTATGTAGGGTCCTTTGCATGTTGTTCTTATTTTACCTATGTAAATCCAAACAAAATATTTAAAGAGTTCAATCATTAACAAAACATTTGAAATAATAGTACAATAAAATATTTATCATATAAAGTAGAATATACTATACGTATATTGTCTTACTTATAAAATCAATTATTTATTGGTTTTTATAATCTTTGAGAAACATACAAGTAGGTAAAAAAATACGAACTCATAATGTATTCCTGTCCACTTCCTATTTGACTAGCTTCATCCAGAATATAAAATAGACCCATTGGTCTACTCATAAGTTGATCAACGGAATTTTTGTTATCATAAAACTGTAAGGAAGCCGTAGTAACTTCATCATCTGCTGCCTCTTGCATTTCCCATGCAAATATTCTTTGATTGTACAGAAATTGCATTTGTTCGTTTGTAGTATTGACTATTAGCTGTTCTAATCGGTTTCTATGAAAACATTCGAAGCCAAACATGTCTAACAAACTGACAGAATATTTGTCTCCACTGCAAGAAAATATTCAATATTATATATTGGGCATATCTAACTTACATAAGTCGATAAATTATTTTTAAAAATTACTTACAAAACTGATCTCATAAATGACAATTTCGAATTTATCAAATTAAACATCCAATCGATTAGTCTTTTATATAAAGCGCTAGCTAAAGTATCCCTTGCATCTCTCGCTTCATCAGTAGAATGTTTTCTTTTTACCGCCGTCCCATTTTCAACTAAACAATAGTTAAGAAGGGCCCACAGGAATTTTGCTTCTTCAAGACATAACAATTTAGCAACTTTTTTAGCTTCTTCAGGATTTTCTATTTCAGCGGAACCATTTTTATCATCTTTAAATTTCACATTACCGAGAACAAGAATCGCAGCTATTACTGTTTGAAGAAAGTTGATATCTAGTTCCTCCCAATCTAATATTTTCAAGTTTTCTATAAATTCTTTATAATTTTCTGAGTTTTGATCAGGACTTTCTCTTACGCTAATCGTCGGTTTCGCCAATTCTTCTGGTATTCTTAAGTACCTATGTTTTCTATTTTTCTCCAAACTAAATTCTTCTAACCTATTTGCTGTTTCCATTGCGTCGTAGAAATAATATAATAGATTGAAATTTGCCTGACTCCTGGAAAAAGTAAAATTACTGGATTGTAGTTTCTAATTTGTTTTACATGATATTTTATATAAAACTTAATAATAGTAGTTACATATCAGTAGATGATACACGCCACTTTTCTAATTGATAAAGCCAAAAAATAGCACCGCTAAGTTTTCCTGAACTTCCATATGTCACTTGTATTTGAAAAATTGCTCTGGTAGAATGTGTGTTTATAGGTGTAGAGGCAGTAATCGCAGCTTGAATAATTTTTGTAGCTTTCTGTACTCTTTCGGCTGTATTATTTTTCATAGCACCTAAATAGGTTAAGTGTGATAATGCGTGAATCATATTTGTTGTTTTGCCTGATTTGCTTTCTCCAGTAAATACTATGTGCTGAGGTTCATTGTGGTGCAAGGCATATTGATATGCACTATCGGCTACTGCGAATATATGCGGCTTGTTGTCAGATCTGCTTTTACATTCATACTTTTTGTGATACTGAAATTAAGTATTTGAATATAATTTATGTATCTTAGAACAATATTAATGTAGATAATTAATATTACTTGTTTGTTTAATACATACACTTTCATTGTAAATATCATCACATGTGTTAGGATTGAGTATGAGAAGAATATCTCCAACAAAAGATGTAAAGAAACCTTTTGCTAATTTAGTTTGCAATTCAACTAGTAAATTATCTTCAGTTAAATTTTCTAATGCTGCCAAATCTTCCACTTGCATAATTTCTGGATTTTGAGAACCTTCGGTTATTAAAACCCCGTTTTTTATTATTCTTTCCAGCGGCTTATTTGGGGCTTCTATTTCTTTTAAGTCTTTTGCTAAAAATTTTAATTCCATTGATAGCTAAAATATGAGTATATTTATAAGAATTTAATTTAATTAATTCCTAAAACGTGATGACTTAAATTCTCTCAAAATATCGATTTTTTAAAAATATTTTTAAATCTCAATAATATCAGTATGATAAAGTAGTAATGTGTCTACGTATCAACTCGTGCCTGTATTTTACAAATTATTTGTTGTGTGGTATTTATTAAAAGTTTTTTTCAATGCAAACTTATTCATTACTATTATTAAGTAATTAGGTAGATATATCATTTTTCATACGATTTAGACGGATAGTATTTTTGAATTTATACATACGTGATAATCATTTTCCGGTACAGATTTTATGAATGGATGCTCTACTAATTCCATCATATATGGTCGATGTTCAGGGTTTTTTTCTAAACATCTGAAATTAATCTATACATTTAAATTACCATCCCATATCCTACATTTTAAACATCTACAAATTCATTCAATTCATTATTACTCACTCTGTAATAAAATCATTGAGGTCATTGGACCACATAGCTGGTTTTGATAGATTAGGTGGTGGATTTCTGACAATCTGAAATAAAGCCCTGGTAGGGTGCATTTCTTGAAAAGGACCTTTGCCATCTGCCATTTCAATTGTAGTTATACCTAGAGCCCACACATCGGCTCTATTCCCATAACCTCCAATACACGTCACGACTTCAGGGGCCATCCAGCTTGGAGATCCAATGTTTGTATTACGTTTTCCAAGCGTTCCATTTAATTTACATGACAGACCAAAATCCGAAAGTTTCACTTCTCCATCTCTAGTGATTAAAATATTACTGCATCTAATATTCCGATGTATCACTTTGTTCTCGTGTAAATAAACGACCGCCTGGAAATGAAGAATCAATTGCTGGAATCAGCACGTGTTTGACAATAGTGATGGAGAGGCCACCCTTAATGAATGAAGTGTGCTGTCCCTCACATCGAATGTTTAAGACAGTTCAGCGATAGGAACGTCAGTGTCAGTCATGAGGTCCACGCCCGAGAGATTCATTGGGATTATTTGCATACGTATCGGATTCTGTACTGTCACAGGCGGTCTGTCCGAGTCTCTACTGTCTGATTTATCAGTGTGTTTAATGCGTTCATTATGATCGTTTCGCTTTAGGGTTGTGTTGATAGATGTCGATAAACATATTAATGTTAATACTCTATTCTACATTTAAATAAAATATAAAACTTTAGAACTTACTACCTAATACATTATCCATATGATGTAATATGAAATATCTAGAATCGTATACATACATACTTACACATTTGAAAATATTCATAAGAAGTTGAAATAATAGGGAATGGTAATCACTAAGAATTCACATGCGATCCAATAAGATCCACAAGTAGAATGATATATTTAAAATGTGTTAAAACTGATTGCCCATTGTAATAAAATATGAGGAAAATAAAACAAATAGTAATTCTAACTACTTCTTAAAATAATTATAAAAGTGGATAACTAACTAATTTTGAGGAGTTTTCGGTAGAAAACATATTTAAAAATTTGTAAAAGCATTTAAAATATATATCCATGTAGTTCTAGTGATGTTTGCGTAACTTAAGTTCTTACAACGGATGTGCATTTCAATATCGATAAATATATTTTCCAGGCCACAAGGTTTCGATTATATATCTTACGAGTTTTAACATCGATAGATATGCGTAGAAGATCTGCCGAACGAAAAGGACAGAGCACTGGTATTGTGAGGCAAGTGGTTCGCATAAAGATAATACTCATTTATCGTTTACCTTTACATTTAAAGTCTAAAGGACCAATACTCATTTTCGATTAGGAACTCAATATTGATAACCTTAAGGAAGAATTTAAATTGTTGCGTGGGAGTCCGAGGGATCATTGGCTACTGCGCCACAGATCCGTATATCTTGTGTGCGCGAGCATTATTTACGATAATTGAGCGATGCGCCGCGATGGGGGGTCATCATGGTGTTGTCGGGTGCGTGCAGACATTCGCATCGACAAGTTCGACTGTTCCGTCGCGAATCACGTCAAATAAAGCGGCGTGCATTTTAAGTAATGGCCCTAGATAGTATTTCGTACGGGGACATTCGGAGGGTAATATTTTATTCGACGTCACGCGACGGTCAGAAATCGCTCGAACACGGATACGAGAACAATTGAGTTTGCATTCAAAGTACCCACCAATTGATTCAGCCGTTGAAAGGTGGACTGGCATTCCCTTTGTTTTATAAACAGCCATCTCGACTCGAATGTGACGAGAGACATGTTTATAGTCAGTCGAATATGGACTTACCTTGATTGTATATTTCAGGATATATGCGATGTGCTCCTCGGACATTTTTCTGTCAACCGCAAGTAGCTTTCTGACAATGTCGATAACAGATCCGCATTCGCACAACTAGAACATAAATTATTTGTTGTATACTCACCACTATTATAACAGATGGTAGGTATTTAGCTAATTTTTCTATGTAAACACAATATCATAATTTGTAATAGATCTTGTAATCCTAAGGGAATATTTAGTAATTGTCAAGTACCTATAGTAAAATAATAATCTGTTCCATTATTGATTACCCTGAGCAGTCCAGGTCGTCTTTCTATATTATATATATTTATTTACGGTTTGCCAATTCTCAACCTTCACTTTAGAAAACAACCAGTCCATTATCAATTTGGCTTGAAAAGTAATTGAAAACTGTTGGTGATGTACGTTTTATTAGTAATTACTTCTTTATGAAAAACAACCTTCATAGTCAATAGTAAATAATTTTTTTTAAATAAAATTTTAGTACAGAAAGTTTATAAATACCTCCAAAACAAACCATATTTTCTTAACATCTTCTGACCTCTCACAGAATACTCCATAGAAATCTATTACATTAGGGTGTTTAGTAAAATCTCTTAGAATCTTATATTCTTCTTGTATGTGATTTTCGTTATCGTCTGTATTAATTTGGACTTTAACAGCAACAGTTTTTCCAGCAGCTTGTGTATCAATTGCTTTGTATACTTCACCAAAGATTCCAGACCCAAGTTTTGTACCAAGCTCATATCGTTGCAATGGATTTGGAAGAGTGGAAATGTTAAGACCCTCCTTCATCTTGTTAGGTTATATTTCGTCACCGACTTGAGTCCCAATAAAATAATAACTATATTAAATAACAATGAATTACTTTATTTATTAGAGATCTAGTTGTAAATACATTTTAAAATTTTATAAAAGAATTCGGCGGTAGATTATAAAAATATTATAACTATTCAAAAGTGTTTAAATTAAGTTTATTTCAATAAAGGATTTTCTATTCTATTCTATTCTACAGTTTCTATTCTATCGGAAAATGATTCTGGTAGACGTTACAGTATTAGTATTGTACAGTATGTAGTGTGTATAAATTGTTATGTACCTAATTATAGATTTAGGTAGCAACTTTGAACAGCCTGAACAAACTACATACAAATAGGTATTACATTAATTAACTTTAGTACACGTTCGAAATTTAAATTATTATTAGTTTCTGTTTATTAAATGCTCTGATAAGAGAATATTCTAATTTATTTTTTATATATTCATATTTAGTTGCAATAGTAAAAGAAAATAAGAATTTACTTACTATTTTACACTACTACACTGTACGACTACGCCGCTCTCGCGGTCCGAGGGCGAGTGACTTTTACCACATAGAGCCTTCACAACTACTGGGGCTTCAGGAATTAGGAACGACACTAATCCTACGTAACAGTATTAAATCATAATACTCTACAACCTTGCGGAATCGTATAGGTACACTTATAATTAAATATGCTTCAATTAATACTTGTAGATATGTTTTGTTTAATAAATTAATTGTAATATTTTTTATCATACCTGCTAATGCGTATCGGATAAAATCCTATCGGTTATGAAAGGTAACGTCCTAATTACCCCATTTTCAGAATATACGCACAGAAATTATAGTTAAATTGTGAAAATCATTTTAATATTGATTGGGAAATGCATTAGATATGAATAAACAGTCATAAATAAAACTAAATATTATACCTATACATAGAATCCCGTTAGTCTAACCGATACATTTATTTGAATAAACACACAAATAAATATATCTGTACTTCCATCGAAACACGTTACTCCAACAGTGTAATAGAGTAAAGAGTACATTATTGCATAAATAGGCGATCGATCAACTATAGTATTCCTTGTCTATTTTATAAAGATAGAAGAGGATGTATGTAAGAAAATAAAGTGTCTGTTATTCGTCTCTTCAAATTTTGTTTTACACCAATTCTTTCCATTTTGTTCTGAATGAAGATTGAGATCTTTCGACAGGATTACGTACCTCACTCATTGACATGTATACAAACACAATAGATCCGTTAGTACCCGAATTTTATATTGTACAGGATATAAATAAATGTTCCGCTTACATCCGCTTGGTTGGCCATATTATTGAATGCAAAATTTCTGGAACTTTTAGTTTATAGAAATGTGGTGATAGCGAGTCGAATCGATTTTAAAACTAAATAGGTTCCGTCATGCTTGTCGACAGAAAGTGGTACGTCAATTGATACACATATGGATCAACTGATATAGAATATTCGTTAGATGGTCATTTTATAAGTAGAAGATTGTAGACAATGATTATAGGATACAGTAATTATTATAATTAGGTATACTCAATATATTAAATATTCATATTTATTTATTTATATAACTGCAATGCACAAAATACCAAGGTAAAAGTACATATGGCGGACTTAACGCCTTACGGCATTTTCTACCAGTCAACCACAGGTTGTGCAGAGAAACTGTAGGCGGTGCAAATGGACACTGACGGTACGACTGGTCCACCAACTCAATGTCGCTCAACGAGCTATGGAAAGGGCTATGCTTGGAGTTTCTCTGAGGGATCAAATCCGTAACGAAGTCATTCGCCAGAGAACTAGGGTCACCGACATAGCTATTCGTATTTGCAAGTTGAAGTGCCAGTGGGCTGGTCATATCTGTCGCAGAACCGATGCTCGCTGGAGTAGGCGTGTTCTAGAGTAGAGACCGCGAATTGACAAACGTAGTGTAGGACACCCCGCAGCTAGGTGGAGCGACGACATCCGTAGGGTTGCGGGTAAAAACTGGAAGAGAAGGGCTGAAAATCGTGCCCAGTGGCGTATCTTAGGAGAGGCCTATTACCAGCAGTGGACTGCAGTGGGCTGATGATGATGATGATGATGACTTGGCCATCGTGGTAGCTAAGAGGAAGCTAATGTAGCGTCCTTTTATAGCAAAAGTCCCAGTTCCTAGACTGGATCTGGATTTAAAACTAATTTCAGAAGAAGCAGTAAGTCAATTCAGTGCGTCACTTCTTGTTTCGATTCATATGGAGAGTCTATATGAAAATCCTAAATAGATTCGGAATTACTCATCATAAACTCTAAACATTAAAAATATCTAACACAATTGTGTTGGGATAGTTTTTATTGTCAACATTAATAATACGTACCTACTCAAGTTATTAAAAAAAAGTATCAATAGCTATACGTAAACAGATATAATGTAAGCAGATACATCAGCGCGTCGAAGCACAACAAAGGGACCTCTTGATACCCTTGAGTCGAGTGTACAAATTAACTGGAAGTAACAAGATAATTGGTGAGAAAACTCATTGAGATGTCACTTCTGTTCAAGTACGCTCTTGATGATCTTTGACGGGAGAATGGTTCCGTTTGTTTTGTTGCCTTTCAACAGACATAGAATCTCCTGCTTTTTAGGTATTTGTATATATTTTTTGTTTGAATGTTACGCGATATTTTCTCTTTTTTTAATGGGTTTTGATATTTATTTTATTCACAAAAGTGTACGAACACCCATAGATTATTGTAAGTACAAAGAGAATAAAACACTGTTTTTAATATTTATTATTCACTATTTTATTTCAATAAAAATAAAAATTCGTTACAAATTGGTCTTAATACTAACAATAAATAGCAAAGTCAATAAATATCACGAACTGGAAATGTACCTACCTACCTAAATTGGTAGTTAATGAAATATTTACATTTTATGGAATGATTGATTTAAATACTAGGTTACAATGTACATTTTTGCCTAAATTTAATACTGATTGTCATTAATAATGGTCACTTATTTTATATTTTATTTCATATATGTTAGTTAGGTACTATGGACACTTAAAAATGGTAAAATGGAATGTATAGGAATGTTGTTTTTAATCTATGGATCATAGTAACGGAATTTTCTTATTATCAACCAAAGTTTGCCAAATTATTTCTATTTCAGTTATTAAATAAATTTGTGTTTATTATTTGCATGAACTGACATGGAAAAAAGAGAATAGGTAAGTCTTTAAAATTTGCACTTAACAATTGTATCAGTAATTTCAGCCTTGTAAGTAATATCATATTTACTGACGTACCTATGTACATTTAACTCAAATTAAATAAAAGAAGGAATTGAGTATTTCATTACATACTTTAATTTTTAATCAGTCAACAATAAACAATAAAAGGAATGATCGGTGTGGAAATGTTACAATAATTAAAACAATTAACTTAATTACTCTAACTTCGGCATTTTTGGTAAATACCATATGAAGAAACGTTAAAGCCTTGTCTTTTTTATTCACGAGTATATTAAAACTAGTGGCCCGTTCCGATTGTTCCCGGGTTATTTATATGTATAATATTATATGTACTGTATACATGAAAACTCGTATAAAATCTGTATAAAAATGTCTTACGTGATTTCAAAGGTGAAACGACTGTTCGGTTTACCTTTGAACTCAAGTAAGAGACGCCGACAGTGGCTTTGTTTTATCTATATTAATGTTATGCCACCTGATTTTATATTTGTGTCTGTCATGTTTTATAATGAAAAAAATCCAATATCGATCGATTTGAATTGGTTTTAAGGGTAGACCATCAGGTATTATTAATAGAACGATAAATTTTAGTAGTTGGTTTTAATTTAGCTATAATATTCCAATAGATAGAAACCCTTCCCTAAGTTACAACTTTTTATTCATAGGGGAGCTATGTTGTTACATTAGTTAGACCTGTAGCATTTATACTTATTTAATACTAAATTGCAATTACTTAATAATTTTCAAATTTTGAGAAGTCGACTTTAATATGAAAATCTTAGAGTCTATTTTCCAATACTGTCGTATTTTCAAACTGTCGTTTTAGTACACATTATTAGATTGGTTAATAGAATCTTAACATGAATAATTTTATAGTAAATATAATTTTCGACTAGGTTACCTAGCCGTGGTCACGAGGTGCCAGCGGTTTTTGATTGTCCAATGAAAGACCTATTATTATTTATTTACTACAAAATTATTCGTGTTAAAACCGCATTAACTGTACCTATTAATATATTTCCTAATGTTTGTGTTAATAGAGTTTCTTATTAAATTTGCGTGCTTCTTAAATTATTGTGTGATCACTTACAAATCGCGATCCACTTATCATCTCTACACCTTTGGCAGTCTACTCGGCAGCACCAGTGAAAAGTACAGTTGCATGGCTTTATGCTGGACTTCCTGATCAAGGCATGGCCTCGACCACAGCACAGGAGGTCACAGGAACCCGTACGAGATGTTCTGCCAATACGGCAAATCCGACCTGATGTTCCTGCTGAATCGGTTCTGGGGTCAGCTTCGCAGAAACTTGGAGATCTGGTGAAAGTTTTCAAGGGAAGGGACTTATTTTTTTTATATATAGATGATATTGTATTCTATTTTATATAATGTCACCATCGACATAGAAATCGTAGGATGTTGTATCTAATATCAACTTGATTAATTCAATTGTCTATTGCCTATTAACACTAGCATAGATGTAGATATAGCTATAGGTATATAGATTATATTACATCGAACGATAGTCAAAATAAAATTTATCAAAATACTAGTTAAGCTAGCGACTTCGTACTCGTTTAACATTTTAGTATGGAAACTAATTGAAATACAACAAACACAAAAATTCAAGTAAATCGTAAATAACTTTAGTGAAAACCGAATCCCAATCGAATAAGCCATTTCTTGAACCATTTTGAGCCAATATTTGTCTGTTTGTGTGCAACAGACAAATATTCTAAAGATCATTGGTTCACTAGTTTTTTTCATATATCGTCCATGTACAAACAGTGCTTAGTGTCATTATTATTATTATTGTACAAATAAACTGAACATAATAATATCTGCTGGAAAATATACTACGTAATATGTAGGTATGTGCATAAATAATTAATAAAAAATAAAAAAAACTATTGTCGAAAAAATGAAAAAAATATTTTTGCGGTGAGCCACCCTTAACCAAAATCGGTCAAGCCTTTTTGTATAAACTAATAATTTCGTATAAATACTAAATCTGTGACACGAGAATTTTATATATTAGATAAGAAGACTTACTTCTCAAAGAACAACAGACTTGACTTTGGTGCTGGGCGCGCCTTACTCCGTCTTCGCCCTCGTGGTCTGCCTTTTAGCACCATCATTCCTTTATTTAGTCCCTCTTGCGCCACCATTAGAGCCTAGAGGCAAAACTCATTTGGTAAATTATAAATTTTGATATATTACGCACCAATGTATCTTTTATGGTAAACGAAATGCAAACTTTGGGTATCAATCTTAGGTACAGAAATTATAGTCTACATATTAAACATAAACCTCTAACTATTAGGATATATATTAACATGTTAAAAAAGGCAAGTTTAAAAATATTCTTTTCTATACAAAGGTACCGTGGTTGATATCGTAGAAAGTCGTTCGAGGGGACACGTTTGCCTCATCAGTATCAACTGTCAAGCAGCTTATTTTGTGAGTTGCTTCGGTTGAAGAGGTATGGCGGTGAAATTACAGGATATGGAGGCATGACTCCTTTGTTCTCCGGGATGGCAACGCATGAAGAATACCACAGGCTGCAGATGCCGAGGTGTGACATAGATGATGCTCATCATCTCCACTTTTGAAACCTTACAACTCTTTTATCACATTAAGAAGTAGGTCTTTGTCCTCTCTCAGGTTATGGACTAAATTTCATTTAAACCGGTTCAGTAGTTTAGCCGTTAGCTGTTACGCTTACACGTAACAGACTAAGTTATTGCTTTTGTAATGTTATATGTAGGGAAGTTGAGTTTGCCACTATAACTTGGGTGGGCATTCCTAAAATATTGTATAATAATAATATTAGACAATACACATAACACCATTTAGTTCCAAGCTAAGCAGAGCTTGTGTTATGAGTGTTATGACTGATAGAATACTTAGATTTTTTAATGCATGTAATGATATACTTAGAAAATATCCAGATCGATATAAACAATCATACTCATAAATACAAATGTTTGTGCTTTGCGAGGAATCGAACCCGCAACCTTTGGAAGTAAAGCGGTGTTCTAAACCACTAGATCACCGAGACGGTCTATGATTTCAATATTTTTAGATGCTTACCTTTCGATATTGCCGCTTGATAGTAGAAGCTACAATCCTGAAATCTGGAGTAGCTCTCCAACACGTCCGGAGCTGGCAACTTCCTGAGAGACCGTGACATTTGCAACGCACTTCCATATGCGATGCCAGTATCTATAACCAATAATCTTATATATAATTCCAATAATTCGATATTGTCACGAGATTACATATTTCGAAAATTTGCAATGTAAAGTATGTTTTTACGCCAAGTTTTCACAATCTGGGCTTCTTCAATACCTACTTTACTAATTATTTTCCTTTCCGGGAATTCCAACCTTATATTAATACTAGCTCTTACCTGCAACCTCGTGTACATCCAGAACTGTTCAGTTTAGACGTGAAAAGGCAACAGACAGTAAGACACAATTTTGAATTTATAACATTAGTATGAAAATATGGATATAATGTTATTGTATGAATTAAAGTTTATATATAAGCTATAATTTATTTGAAATTGATCATATTATTCATATAAATGACTACAATTGGTTTATGTTCAGTATGCATATTTTTTTAATCTGTGTTCGAATTATAAACGCATCGTACCGAATCCTCAAGTTCAATAAAATAAAACTCGAACGAATCGCCTCATCCATCCAATACTCGAGAATAAGTAATAATAAATCTGAAGTGTCCTAATACGTGACCGATTTTGGCGTAATTGCACCACCACCCACCGCACTGGCCATATCATTTACATAATTAAACACCTCGCGCAATCACGCTGACGTCTTAATTTCGCCAATGCCGCCAGTCGAACAATTTCCCAAATTGAGTCGGAGCAAAAATTCAAATAAATCGGAGTTTCGGAACGCCCCCCGTACCGGTCAGCCTTAATAACCCGGTATTAAGAGTGTTCGCGATAGAATTCGCCACCCAAGACGTTTGTAATACTGCTACGACGACGTAATGAAGCTGGAATATTAAAAATGGCCTCAACCGCTTATTATGTTCTCACCTCTGCGGGCGGCTCGTGAAATACGGCGGGCTAATATGGGCCCTCGAGCGGCTGCGTTGGCCGTGCCACCATTTTCAATAGCCTTTAATGGTGGCGCCATCTGCTGTTCAAATGTATCTGGCTAGAGTCTGTTGTGTTATTACTTCTAAGCCATAACAGTTGGTTTTGTGCTGTCAATGAGTGTTTTGCTCGAATTGATTTGTGTGGAATTATCTACCTACTGATGGTGATTGAAACGTGACTATTAAATTGTAACGGCCGCATTGAAATGTCGGTTTTTCAAAGTAGGTACTACCAGCTGTTGTAGTCAAATTATATATATTCGCTGCATATCAGTTTCTAGACTAAAAAAGTAGCGTTTGTTTTGAAAAAAATTAAAAAACAATAGAGTTGGAAATATTTTTTCTGTTCTAGTTTCAGCAGCTCTCATTTCTTTTTTTTCTTTGACACCACTTCTGTTCGTTCTTATAGTTTCGTCCTATGGCTTTTCGGTCTAATACTAAGCCACTTTTGAACACCGCAGTATTAGTTAGATGTTATAGAGAGAAATAACAAAGAACTATAAAAGAGCCAGATTTATTTTGTTACCCGCCAAATTAAATAGGCCTCTAGTACTTGTACTGTAATATTGAGGAAATACTATACTGAGAGTATAGTATATAAAACAGGGTTTTAACACCCCTGTACTATTTGCTTTACAGACATTATTAGTATGCAGATGTGTTAATAACCTTCATTTTCTTGTGGCTCTAGACTAAACATGATGTCATTATATGGCCGGTAGCTATATAACATAATAATACGAGTGTTGTAAACATACAATTATTTAGAACAGCTCCAATTAAATATACAGACACTATGTAATTTTCTTTGATGCATGAATATTTTAATTTAGAGGTGACTTTATCTGTCATATAATAATATTAATAGCTCTATATTAGAATGGAATAAAAAAAATAATCTATTTAATCAAATAACCTTTATTTTATGTTCTAAATATAATCAGAGGTTATATAAAAATAGATTAACGGAAACAAACGTCACGTCTGTTATCCCGGATGAGATAGTCAATAGAGGTATTGTCAAGTGGCGTGGGGCGTCATAAGTATATGAAGTTAATGATATAATGATTTCATTAATATAAAAAAACATATAATAACATTGTTTTGACAAACAAACAATACAATACTTTCTACTTATGTCTTTAAGCCATAGACGTTATAACGAATACACTTCTAGTTATACGAACACCGTGCTGCCTCCAGTACATAGGCTACATTTTCTTACAGTATTTTCATACAGCATAGTAGTTATTGATCGTACTTCTTAATTGAATATGTATAAGGCTTCTATTTTGTATAGCGTATTTGCCTTAACTTTCCCAGAACGACAAAAACGTTATTCGGTATACGACATTTTAAGTTACTTATGAGCGTCAAAGTTATTACTATTTTTAAATCACTTAAATAAGCAATTTAAAATGCTTTTAATAAAAAAATATTATTCACATTCGATTACAGTAGTGACCAACGCTAATATTTTATCAGAGACAAGCGCATCTAATTCGTTAACAAATTCAAACCGGGCCACGTCGCTGCGTGTGTTATTTAATTTGGATTGTATTTGAGGTTAAGTCTTATTTATGAGTACATTATTATTTACTTAAAGTACCGATTACTTTTTGTTCTAAGGTAAATGAAACATTGTGAGATATAACAAATTATGGTCTGAAAATGTAAACGTCGTCACGTTTATTAGTTATAATTATTAACATCAGTTTTCTAAGAAATACATAAATTTACATACATGTTTTGGTAGATTGGATATAATTCAAGTCGTACTTTATACCTACTAATTTATCACTAACAATTCACAGAATTAATATTCGCTTTGTATATTCTGATTTTACATTAAAATCTGTATCTTAAATTATTTCATATGTTTTGAGATATCAGTGAAAGTTTAATGAATATTATATCATAAAATACGTTAGTTAGAAAATAAATAATTACGAGTACACACAAGAATGTAAAGTAATTAAAAATAGCAATAATTATATTTATAAACCGATACCGGACAGTCATCGGGACATAACAAAATATTAACTCATCGAATCGATTTTTTGTAACATAATTATCACCTCGGCTCTCTAATGTGGTACCTAATTTCTTGTGTGGGTCGGGACGCGAGATCTTTTATAGTCCCGCTGGGGGCTGCCTATTACACCGCATACGAATTTAATTATATTTATCTAATGATCATTGCTGACACATGACGCGGTTTCAAAGTTAATCATTACATTACATTATCGTTACTTTGTGTATGTATATTTATATAGATTCTCCTTTTTCGTCGCCGCTACTTTCCGTTACGACGGGGTCGGCTTTTCTAATTTTGAGGCGCCATGCATTTTCATTTCAATTGATGTATATTTTGTAGTTATACTTATATTGCTTATTTTAGTACTTTATGGTATTTTGTTATATATTATGTTAATCTAAAATTAGTTTAGTATATAAAATATATATTTATATAAAATTTGATTACATAAATTTCTTGACCATATTCCACTATTCTATTTATATCGGCTGTCCAACACTCGTGCTCTACCATGGCCTGCTTGTTACCAACTAAGTCACAGAGTTAGGTTGACTGGAAGAGGTCTCTTTCAGAGATAGCCCCGCCCCACATGTGCTATTTTAATAAACAGTTTCATTGTTAGATAGTTTAATGTTTCAGTTAATAGTTCATACATTCGCAGTGATTTTTTAAAATGAATATTATATAGTTGATAGGTGGAGTAAATAGTGATATACATTTAATATCTGGAAAATACTGTACCCGAAAAATTTTCCACTTACGGATAATCCTTGAAATTATAGTAGATTTATACTCTGTTATATCGAATTGTATACATCAAAAATGTGTGCACTTTGCGAAAAATTTCCGCCACTACGGTAATAGTCGTTATATATTAATCTATTCAAGTTTGAAGTCCCAAAAAGATGGATACATTATAGACTACATTCGTGAGCATGCCTATTTATTCTAACTTATTGATAATTTAGATAAAGTTTAATAGACAAAATCAAAATTTTTGTGAAAGTATTATTAATTTTAGGTGTCATTAGAAGGACATCTGAATTCCACAGATTTTTATATTATAGCTGTAAGTTTAGTCCATTTTGATGATTCTTATTGAAATATATATGGCTTTACAACATTGGAACAAACTTATACAATATTTTTTTTTATATAAAAAAAAATTGTTACTAATATATTTGTATACCTGACGGTTACGTTACAGTGTGAATGCGTTCGACTTTATTTTGACATTAATAAAAATATCATCGCAGGGGTTATTATAAGCGAGCGTGTCTAACAGAGATCTCACTGGGAGGCTGTTAATTATGTGCCTACAAAACAAAATGGTAGAATGTTGCCGGAACAATGGTCAAGTGTGGGGTCCTGGACCACCGGCTTCGCTTACCTCTGCCTCAATTTACCTTCACGCCGTGATAGGTTATGGTAATAATTGGACATTAAAATATTTGAAAATGTGCCGTTTTATATTTACCCGATTGCGCAAAAGTATTAGTTTAAGTAAGCATAGGCTTTTATATCGCGTGTGTTGTAAGTGTCGAAACCATTAGTAATGTATTAAATAGTTACTATTTTTTATTTATTTATTTCTAATATTTATGATACGTTAGTCTAGTAGTGTATGATATAAAAAAATATATCTTTGTCCACCTCTAAATGCATTGAAACCGTAACAGTGTATAGAACTCCAGTACCTCTGGATATATTTCAGGGAAGTAGATTGTTAGTAATGGATTTGAATTGCTAGCAACGTAGGAACCCATCATTGAATTATCCTCCAAAAATGAATAAATACATATCTAATTCTCTTACATAAATATTATATGAAGATGAATTTATAGTTTCAGATTTTAAATTGACGGAAAATGGAATGCTGCACCCGCCAGCAATAACGGTATCCACTTGCGCCGGCATCAGGGGAGAACGATGACTGAGCATAAAGTCAGGCCATCGTGTATGATTTGACGATGATTTTCATAATACATGTTTTTTTTTTATATATAATATTGCATATTCATATTATTTTACATAAAAGATAGTATATATTGCACAACATGTTCCTTAGCATATGTCTTGGGATTAATGTATTAAATAATTAACATAAAAAATATGTCAAATGTAATATACATATTATTTGATTATTCGAATACGGACTGATTTATGAAAGTGGGGCATGTGTTGTACTGAGTCACTCTACTATATATTCTGACAATACAAGCAGAGAGTATGTGTTGTTTCGATTAATTTTATTATTGAGTTAAATAAAGACGATTATTATTATTATTATTAATTAGCACATTACCTAATAGTACCTAATTTATTATATAAATCTTCTTTGTTTGTGTAGTTGGAATCGCAAAAAAGCTGATGTAACCATCGCGTATATACCCTACAGTACTATGATATCACATTGTATTCCAGGAGTCATACCTCATATCCTGTAATTTCACTCTTTACCCGCAACACAGCTTACAAAGTAAGCTTGGAGGCTGAAATACGAGAGAGATTTAAGAGGAAACAAACACAGACTTCAAAGTTTGCACCGGTGAAAATTATATAATTATATCCTTCGGATGCATTATATATATTTATCGTATTTTTTTATCATTAGTATATACCTATATATTTAATTTGCCCATCCAGGTAGGTACTTAAACCTAAACGGAGCGATTATATATTATTATCTCATAAAAGCAACATTGTAACATATTCGAGTTTGCTTTTATTACAACCACACATCGTTGGCTCGTAAAATGTCATACTAAACTACGTGTTAATAGTAAATTATAGCAAATTATAGCAAAATTTAAATTCTATTTCGCATGGCCGCTACTGAGTTGGCGTCTAAATTACCATAATCATTATTATTAATTTGTTGTAATCAAATTAGGTTATTAACATGATATATAATTTGTAAGTTATTACTAGTTAGTAAATTGACAAGCGGAGACAAGTATATTATGTATATATACATAATATGACATACACTTGGTCTAATGTAAATAGCTGACATAAGAAATATGTAACCTCATCTGTTATTCGATGAGAATAATGTTTATGTAGATAATAAATACAATTTTATTTTTTATTATACTATATATAATAGGCCTTTTAATATTTTATCTAATTATCCTCCTTAATTTGTCACAAATAAAAAAGAACCAAACTCGAAAGAATTAAAAAAATATTGGTTGCTGTGCCTTTTTTTCCGAACAATTATGAAATTGCCTGGTGTAGTTATACTAGTATAATCTCGCCACTTATTTAATTGTTTTTAAATGAAAGGTTATTTTATTTCCTGTAGTTACATAAAGTAATATATTGATATATATAAACTTGTATAAATAATAAATAACCCTGGACAATTAACATAGCGTCATCTAGTCCCACGGTAATCATAGCTTGTATTATGGGTACAAATGATAATACTTATATATATTTTTTGCAAATGCGTATGTAATATATTTAGAAAACACCCAGACCGATACAAACAATCATACTCAGAATTACAAATGTTTGTAGGTACCGTGCGAGGAATCGAACCCGCAACCATCGGAAATACAGCGGTGTGCTAAACCGCTAGGCCACCAAGAACATCATACCTATAATATCTGAAATGTCAAAGTTATGTTAACATATCCATTTATACATCCTTTTGTATGCACATAACTTTACTAAAATAAAAACAACCTTATTAACTGGCTGTAAATGTCACGAGATACCGATAGCACAGAAATAAATTAAGCACTCGACTTCCATATAATTAAGCACTACAAACGTATTACAAATTAAATAATTTGTACCTACGTGTCGTGTTTGTATTATAGAAAAAACTATACCGACGTAAATTGTATTTAATCGTAAACTCTTAATAGGTAAGCACACGTATGCCGTTTTAATGTCAGATTTTGTTATGGACACCAATATAATATTATAAACAAACATAATCGTTGTACTTATCGAAACAGTTAAGTCATCTATGTCAGTAGGAATACGGTTTCGTCTCTAACCGAACTCATGATACCTGACGGCAGTTGTACAGTATGTGTTTTGGTATTTAAACTCACGCTTGACATGTTTATTATGAATCGGAAGAGGCCTGTTAAATTATTAGAATTAATCCCGTCGGGCAGGTCCGGTATTTTGGCTTCGTTACGCGGGTGTGTCAATGCGGTAGATAAATTATTGGACATTGTAGTTAGATGGGTATATTTAAGTATTTATAAACGGTGGACACGTATTTAGCTGTTAGAATATAGAGATGGAAAGATATGACAATTTTATAAAATTGTTAATTAATTGTTACTAACTGTAAAATGCAATGTTGTCAGCATGAGTTATAAAGACGGTATTTTATTGTGGGTGATGGTGGAATGGTCATTCTAACATACAATGCCAGTAGTTGGTATACGCGGGCAGTGAAGATGTAATGGAAATGAAATGAGGTTAAACGTGGCGATATCTCAGCTTTTACGGGGTGTGACAGGAATGGAAAACTGACAGGGCAAACTAGGGAATAAGCAGATAACAATTCCTTCCCATCTGTTATAAATTCCCGTCTAAATGTCTTCTACATTTACAGTACTTCTAAAGATTAAGTAAGATTGCTGGCTACATTTTCAACAAGTAGGACCTATATCACTGCTACCAGACTTGCACATGATTGCATAATTATAATGTAATAAGCTTGGCTACTTTATTTACGAACGGTGATCACCAAAAACGTATTTCATTGAGGTAATACCATGTTATGATTATGTAAGTTGCATGCCCCGAATTGTGGACCACCCAAATGGGTGATTACCGTAAGACACGCCCATTAGCGCTCTCAAATTTAACTAAATAAGTGTTTCGCCTTCTTGACGCCTCAGCGGATCAATTTGAACACCTACATAATTCTACCCTCAGAGCGACAGATGTATTCTGACCTCCCATTTTACTTTACCGATATATAAAAAAGTAAGAATGTATAAAATTCCAGAGATCTTTTAAAATAGGCGGATGTAGAGCGTAATAATTTGGACAAAATAAAAAATTGGTTACGTGTCATATTGTTTTGGTATAATAGGGTCGTTACATATAATTTACCATTGTTATTGTGATTGAGTCATTTGATGATTTGTTGTCGAGTCAAATTGGTATCTTCATATTCGTATGATACAGAAAAATGAGATGTATTTTTACGAAAAGACGTTTCTTTTGTTAAGTCTTCTGCGTGGGTATCTATCTTAATCTCACCTATTTCAGTACTTACACACACACAGTATCCTTTTGGTACGCTAGGTTTCGATTGTATTGGGCGACACTACATACAAATATTCATACTATAACTTTAAAGTCGTAAACTGAATTTAATAATAAATAGTATTATTACGCATTTGAAAATTGCATTCCTAACAATTGTTGTTCAAAATGACTTATTCTCTATTTGTCAAATTGCGTGGAACTAACTTTAAGGCATAACGAAACGCCTATATAATATTTATTTTCGTCTGCCTATATACCCAGTAAAAGTACTGAATATATAATTACTTATAGAATAATAACATCGAACATAAATTATTTTTTTACTAAATATTAACATATAATTACCTATAGTTTGCAGCAGCTAATATTTATACGTACCTATAAATTTAATATTCTGTAAATTTATTTAGCATACTTTTATTATTGTGTACTTCAAACCAATTACTTTGAAATTAGGAATCTTCTTCTGTTTTTAAATTAACTGTATTCAAACTCACGTATAAACAAATGATATGCACCCTTCATACAATGATCAACCAGTAAATATGCAGTCCTATTTATGAATTGAATTTAAGTGTTATACAGCACTTCTAGTGTCTTTTGAACCTATGAATATTGCACTTGAATAGAAAATCAAAGAATATTAAGAGATGAGACCGCTTAAGAGTTTGTAGGTATGATTTTTAATGGGTGAATATGGTGAATTAGTTCGCTAATGGAATAAGCTAATAATAATAATCTTTATTAAATTCAGAAGGATCGTTACAATATTATTTATACAATAGGTACACATTCCAGACAATATCAATCCTTTCAGTATTTATGTGTAGTCCTGGCTTCTGAACTAGCATAAGCCGTATGACAGCTGTCACAAAGTTTTCGCTTCACGTATTAATAATGATATGTTATCTGTGATAATGATAACCGTCTGTATGGTTACAACTCACCACCAAAAGGGCCAGCAGCCTATTTGCCATTCCAGTTACATAAAGAAATGAAAAATTGACATTATTAATTAAAATTTAAACAAATTTTAATAAAACTCACCGATCTGCCAGCGTTATTATTATGAAGATTAATCTTCGACTGCAAGTCATCCACCTTCTCCCTTACATCTAAGAACTTCCTGGAGAAGTCAATGCCATGTGCTAAATTATGGGAGCACCCGCTCCACTCCCATTTGTTAGCTTTCGCCCTACCCCTAGGGTCGTGGGAGGCTCTGTAGCCTAGAGGGTCACAACCGCAGGACAGGAGACGGCCTTGTGCGCATGCCCGCGCTACAGAATGAGCCACCCCCGCTGCTGTTAGGGCGTACAGGAATCCCGCTTCTCTGAACCCTAAAAGAATGTAATATTTATTAACTTAGATGAATGGTAATTTTAAAACACTAAAGGTAATATTAGTAGATAGAATATTATAAATAAATTATTATTATTAATTATTCTATCGGATTTTTTATCGTTTTTTATTCTATATATTTTAAGGTATTTTATTTTATTCTATTTTAAAGATATTAATCTACTTCATCTCATTATTAAAAACATTGATTAAATTTAGTTTAGTTAATACATTTAAACATATGAGATAAGCAGATGTTATTGTACATGTACAAGGGTGAATGGGAAATGAACGGTATGTAACAAAATTAAAGCAGATGTGATAGCCCAGCCCGCCCTATTCTTTCTAGCTAAACTAATAATAAATACCGTAATAAAATCTAAATTATGTATGAATCGATTTGGATATGTATGAATTTTGTGTGAAATATACATACAAAATTTTATACAAATAGACTCAGGTTTAGGAAGAGATACATATGTGACAAAGGCCAAAGGCACAGAAAATTATATATGTTAAGTTTAAGAATGTAATGTAACGTAAAGGAAAAATTACATTACGTCACTTATATCTAAACTAATTATGAGAAGAAACATTTTGTTTATAATAAATATCTAAAAGTTCTTAACCGATTATTTAAATACTTTCAAATATAGAAAATTCGAGATTAGCGTGATCTGTTCTCGAAGGTAGCGCTGCTGGGAAACAGCTAACTATTTATAAAGCCACGGGAAAATCAGTTTTAAGACATTCACACTTGCCTACACATTACATATTACAAAACAGTGTGATAATCCAAAGTAAAAACTATAGTGCAACAAAACTGTATCTGAATAACCTGACTCCTATTTTCCTTATTCGGTGTGGTCGACTTGTCTTGAATAACTAAGGAGGTTCTAGTAGGATCACTGTGCTATTACATATACGTTACAATGAGTAAATAATTCTTCGAGATAGCGGTGGTTGACTAGTTGATAGGTGATCCAGATCGAGTAAGCTTTTTCAGTATGCTTGTACATTTTGAAGTGATAATATATTCTCAAACCTACAAGGTATGGAGATGCATATTAAATGGTTTAGTTGCAAGAATCTCGATAGAAGAAATCTCATAATATCATGCTGGTTGATTTTTTTTTAATATCTTTTACTTAGTCAAAAGTAGATACAAAACCGTTAATGCTTTCTGCATTTAGTTTCTTGTTTAAAAGATATTCGATTTTTGTCATTGTTAATATTTAGTATTCCAATTTACCATTTTATGAGAAATTGACGTGAGAATGCCAGAAAATTATAATTTAAAATAAATTATAATTTTCTGGATATTTTTTTAACAAGAAACTAAATGCACAATGTATTAACGGTTTTGTATATACTTTTGACTAAGTAAATGAAATTAAAAAAAAATATATATTAATGTAAGTAAGTAATAATTATTAAAATATATACATATATATACTTCAATATATATTTTGAAGTATTTAATCATTTGGGTATATATTTAAATAGATTTTATTACACCAGAAAAACAAATATGTTTATGAAATATGCGCATAAAAATGTATGCACAAAACGATATTCTGGATATATCGCGATACTGCAACACAATAATCTGGTAAAGGCATTCAAGTCCGTTTCGATTTATGGGAACGCTGGACATGGCGACCACCATTTATCTATTTTATTGCAGTAAATTAAATGGTGAATCCATTTGCGATGTAATGATAAGCTATTGCCCTCGAACAATGTAATCTTTTTACCATAAATAGTATGATTGGCGATTTGCATTTGAGTTAGGTCGGAAGAAGCCGGTAGCTTGGTTAATTGTATTCGGTTGTAAGTCTGTGAAAGTTAATAATGTGCTATTCTTGCTATTTCATTGTGTCAAGCAGAACCTTTAGATTTTAAGAGCCATCTCCGTTTAATGGGCAATTAAACTAGTGAAGGACAAAGCAGTTTGCTACGAGATCAGTTTATCCTGGTTTTTATGTTAATGCACCTACATAATCTGTAATCAATTGAGGTCTGCTATTTAATATGCGTTGATAATAGATTAATGTTCTATTGATGCAGTCTGGTAAGTAAATTACCGTCCTACTAATGCCTAATGGGTAATTCGTATCTCGAACATTCAAAATGGTAATTCTTTGCTATACTAATAGGAAAATTATTAATTTTCAAGTTTCGTAAGGAGAGATGAATTGACATATTGTACCATCAGGAGAGGCATTGTAGATAATATGTTCATATAGTATAGTGTTATGGAACATAAGTGATGGCTACTATTATTATATAGCTTGTTAGTATACGTATGATTCTAAGTAATGGTATTATAAAAGATATAACAGTAGAAATCAATCTTGTTTTTTGAGAAAGGATAATTTTTATAACCATACAACAATCATTAATCTATATAGATATAGTGTAAAGAAGAAATCTTTAAAGTTTTCTATGTAATAGATAAACTCAAAAAATATTTAAATAATTGTAAAATGTCTAATCTAATCTAAGTTTTTATTGAAAAAATATTCTTTCTCTATAATTGAACATGTGCACTTTCACTTTTAATATATAGATATATATTAAAAGTGAAAGTGTGTCTATTTTACTTTTTTATAATGAACCAACTGAAAGGAGTCTTATTGAAATTTTACATCAAGATAGATTGCCACGAGGATGTATGTAGACTATCTTTTATTTTAAAACGCAGACGAAGCCGTAGGTTACAAATAGTATTGATAGAGGCATGTGAAGAATCTTATTAAATGAAATAATTTAAATGCTTTGTATTTGATCACGTGATTCAAATGCACCCACAGGGAGGGGAATATCTTGATGAATCCGATACGAATGCAACGAATAAATTAATTAGTTTCTGGCACATGATTAATACAAGGATCGCCGTACGTTATCTACCGGATTAGTGGCTCTGCCTCTAGAGTGAGTCTAATTGACGGTCAGAGATACGGTTTATTAAATAATGGCATTTTTATTTGGAAGTTAGGGGTCGTTCACAAACTCTGTAGATATCTACAGGTTTTTATGACAGTTCTCTTTTTGTATTTTATAACACTACGATCACATTGAACTGCTGCGATATGTGGAATTTAAAGCTGTTCCATCAGTTATAAGCTTATAAGGGGTTTATAAACGTCTTTTTATTTCTCTACATATCTTTTGTTCGGAGTTCATTGAGTCATATCTATAATAAATCAAAGTGTAAAAATTCAATACCATTCGTCAAGTTGTTTTAGTTGATCTTTGTTTTAATGATAACGTATTGAATCTCATTAATGTTATTACATATAAGATTAGATCATATTTATATTATTATTGAAATTTATTATTATATAATACTGAGATATTGTATTGTCTTCATATATATAGATTTAGTAATGTGGTAGACAATACTATGTCTATATAAATGAAGATAATTCTGGATGAATTTATAGACCATATCGAGATACAAAACAAAGATAACCAGATACGTGCTAAATTATAAATGTTCTGAAATTTCATATTCATTTGAATAATGTTAATTCAACCTATTTATTACGACAATAATAAATCGGAAATAAACATCCATTATTGTATTATTCAGTATTCTTATTAATTATATCGAATTTAAATTAAATATTAGTTATCAGATATATGTCATATGAGATAGGTATATCTATCACATCACAATATTCATGTATGGCATATACGGAAATCATATCTAAATAAAAAAGTGCATTCTGAGATTCGAACCTTTTCCGATTTAGATTTAGATTAGTTTATTTTGATATTCTAAAATTAAACGGAACCTCATTGTCGTGCCTATTCATACAAATCGACGTAATGAAGCCTAATCCAAGAACAGAATAATCCTATAAACATTAAACGGCACCCAGTATGTCATAATACCTGCTGCTTTCACTTTCCTATAAAAATCTCTTTTATTTTCTTTCATTCGTTCTCGATTCGGTGTTTTTTGCTATCCGGCCTTAACAGCACGGTTCTAGGTCATCAAACTTGGAGTAAAAACCACGCAAGTAATGATTTAGGATGACTCACGTTTAATAAAATGATAATCATTATATATCAAACATTATCTCGCAGAAGTGATCGTCCGCTCAGATGAATTAATACAGTCTTGCGGTTTTTACAGTTTGCGATGCAGACTTGGTCTGTCATAAAAATTGAGTCATTCCTTTGTTTTGATGAATATAAGTTTTCGGTTCGTGTCAAAATTGGTAAAAAATATATAATGGAAGATATCTATAAATAGCTAGGTTTACATTAGAAAGGTATGCGGATATTAATGAAATAACTGTGTACTTAGAAATTTCTTTATATATTTTTATACTCCTACTACTACTACTAGATTTAAAGCTATGGAAGAAAATAGGTTTTTTATATATTATTATGCTCTTGATACAATTTATATAGCCAGAAATCATTCTGGAATTCATACAGGTAAGAATGATATTTATTTATTAGAAATTATTAATCATGATTTAAAACTTAATACATGATTTTAAATAAAATATTAATTTTAAATTTTTAGTATATAATTTTAAATTTAATTAAATACTTGAAACATAATTTAATTAATTCATTTTGACAATTTACTTGTAAAATGAAAACTATCTTAATTTAAGTCAGATATTCTAAACACATTGCGATTTTTTCTCCCATTTAAACGTCAATGGACTAATTGCAACAAAATTTAGTTTTTTTTTAAGGAATTTTTAAATAGGAAACTGGTATTGAATATTTTACAAACGAATCAAATTGTGTGAATCGTGTATTATAAGTGCACCTTCATTCTATGGTTGTCATTCGATCGCATACGGGTTCCTGACGAATGTTACGGTGTACCAACCGTATTAGGTAATGTTATTGTTTATTTATAAACTCTGCTGCACTACGACGAGCTTTTTCCGTCTGTCCAATGACAAATTTATATTTGTCGGTTGAACGATTCGCGATAGAATCGGTGCTTCGATTTATAGCACGC